AAGCCATTCCTGAAGAAAAGTTATAAGAAGAGTCCCATTTGCGGTATAATGAAATCCATGCGGGGGATGCCAGCAAACAATCTTAAGAAGATGCTGAGGTCAGATGAGACCAAAACTGGATTTCTTTGGCTTGCTTTCATAATGCTGTATGTGGCAGAAGATTATGACCCTTAAGACATCTACTGTAAACATGGTGATGGCAGTATCATGCTGTGGAAATACTTATTTTCAGCTAGTACAGGTACCCTTGATCTATTTCACTGGGTGAGGAATGGGTAATCATTTCTGTCTCTGCAGGTGCAAAGCTTCAAGAAACTTAAAATAATGACAATAAAATACAAATAAAAAATCATAACAAATGGTAACATTTTGCTGTAAATGTACAAATAGCCACTACTTTCTCTCAGTCTACCATATAAAATCCCAGTGTTTACTGTAACATAACACAAAATGAAAGTTCAAAGAGTCTTCATACTTTGACAATTCGATTGAAGAACCGTTTGTTTACCACCCACTACTGTCAGCCCATGTTAGAAACCACTGTAAATAACATTGTCTGTCTGTGTGGTCTTCACAGGGCTTGATAGCTGGATGAACCTGACTAGGGTTGACCCCGATGAGGAAGTTCAAGGAGAGATCCACCTGAGTCTGGAACTCCTTAAAGATACAACGAAGAGCAGCCTGCGGTGCCAGGTCATTGAAGCCAGGTAAAATAAAATAAAAAAAAAAACTAGTCACTGCTCGTGTGGGGAGCAGAAACTCAAATGAACAAGAACGGCCCAAGTAGTTTAGGAGCAAACTTGTCATAAAAAATGATAGAAATAATTTAGAAACAAATGTTCATACCATCTTTAACATAGTTGAATTTCTAGGGCAAAGTGTCTTACCGCATCATAACTATTTCTGCGATGAAACCTTCTCTCAATCACTTCCGTCTGAGTCACACTGCCTCTATCACCCCACTCGGTGCCCCATCTGCCTGTCCCAATCTCTCAGCCACCGATCAGTCTGCCAATTACAATTTGACACTGGTTTTCAACAAAGCCGAGACAGCTCTTAGTTTAGCCAAGAAACAACAACAAAAAAACGCAATACCAAGATGAAACTTTTATGATCTGTATAAAATAAGGGATTAGATTGAGAGTTGTTTTCACTGCTGATACCCATAGGGACTTGGCACCGAGAGACATTTCTGGAACATCGGATCCTTTTGGAAGAATTATTTTCAACAACCACAGTGCGGAGACCTCGGTGAGCTCTATGACCTCTGTGACGCTTACAGCATTCAAGAGATACCCAGAGTAAAAAGGTGTTTTTTTTTTGTAAATAGTGGCTGTCTAAGATGCTATGATATGTCATAAGCATCTTAGACACTAAGGCAGGTGCAGAGATAATTACAGGTATTTTGATTTTCATTTAGCTTTGTTTATTTTGTATATGTATCCTTTGTTGCATCTTAAGCCTGCAGCATATTCCATTTACTATTGAGACAGTTAGGATTGGCTTCATAATGTTGTCAAACGTAGCTAATAATGTAACTATCTTTGCTGACAGAGCAGCTATGATGGAAGTTTTATTTTCTATTCTGTACATTCTTTTATGCATAATTTTCATGCTGGGATCTCTTACCTATCTTTTGATGTCTGGGTGTAGATTATCAAGAAGACCCGGTTCCCTCACTGGGGGGAAACCTTAGAGCTGGAGCTGGACGCAGAGGAGCTGAATGAGGAGGGGACTGTGGTCATGGAGGTCTGGGACTGGGACATGGTGGGAAAAAACGACTTTCTGGGAAAGGTCAGGGTCTCTTGAATTTTATGCTACGATTGCTGTCAAACGATGCAGGTTACTGAATCAACAGCTACTGAACCTTGTTAAATTTTAAGGCATTGCAACTGCAACTCTCAGTGTGTTTTATCTGGATTGTGTGAGGAGCATGCTTGGCATTGTCTCTTTGCAACAAGTTAAAGTTTGGTGTTCTGTTCTGACCTAAGGAAGCTCTATGAATATGTTGGAGGCGTCTGCATCATGTTCATCACTGAGAATAGGTCTTCTCAGCGCACTTCAGTAGCAAATTGTGCACTTGATAACACATCAAGACTGACTTGGTTTGTCATAATTTGGCATTGTGGGAATTGATTAGGATTCCTTGTTGCTGACTCTCCCGAGCTCACTAGGTGGCATACTCTGATCCACAAGGGTTATGGTGTATATATTATGATTATTGTGAGTATTATCTTATTACTGATGGACCAATAATAAGACGCTATTGTCTATTGTTCTGTTAGTTTCCAGTGAGCCTTGATCCTAACTAGTCTTCTTCTCTAACAGGTTTTTTTCCAGCCCTGTTTTTAGTTTCCTTGTTTTTTTATCCAAATATGCACAACGCTTATCAGATTTTTACATGTAAAACCTATGCATCATTTTTTTCCACTACAATTATGCACCACTGTTGGTGTATCCCACAACATCCCACACTGAAATTTCTCGTTGTAACATGATACAATGTTTAAACTTCTCAACACAAAACTACCATCTGTGATCTTGGCTGATGTAGCGTCCTTGTTTATTCTCTTACTCCACAGGTGGAAATCCCTTTTGCTTCTTTGCACAAGACACCTGTGTTAGAGGGCTGGTTTCGTTTGCTGCCCCTGGGAAACAATGAAGCTGATGCTAGGTGAGGATTATGGGTGTGCTTGTTTGTGCAATGATGCAATTTTGTGTATTTATGCACCTCGAATGTATTTTGCTCGTAGTTTTCTTTTCTTCTTCTTTCAATGCACAGGAGGACAGGCAGTTGCTCACCTCCGTGCTCCCTTTCATGCATTTAAATGAAGAGTAACAGGTGGAGGGCAAGGCCTCTGACAGCATCTGTTTCTTGAGATAATTTTAGAACAAAGGGCAGAATGAAATGCAAAAGAGATGTCATATTAAGTGAATTTCACAGGGTTATTAGGAACCATCGCATGCTGCTTGGTGCAGTTATGATAAAAAAGGTTTTGCTATGTATTACAATATATTAAATATCTTGGAGGGACTTTCTATAGTTTGAGGTTAGTGCAAGAAATTCAACTAATTCCTGAACTGATCCTTTTGTCGTCGCTGGTTTCCAGTGGCAAGCTGGGAGCTCTGCGCCTGAAGGTGCGTCTGGTGGAGGACCGGATCTTGCCGTCTACGTACTACCAGCCACTTATTGAACTTCTGGTTGAGTCGGTAATCTCCCCCGCAGAGGTCAGCATCGTAGCTCGTCCTCACTACGGATACTCATTCGTTCACCTTCATCATGATCACAGAGAATGCTCCATGCGTTACATTTCTCCCGTCTATCTATTTTCCAAAGGCGCGTTGTTCCTCAAGGTGTGATGAGGGTCTTTCTTTGAACAGGTGGAGGACAGCAGCGCCCTGACCATGCTGGAGGAGGTGACCACGGTGGAGAGCAGGCAGGATGTCGCAATGACTCTTGTGAAGATCTACCTGGGGCAGGGCCTGGTGGTGCCGTTCCTCGATTACCTTAACACCAGAGAGGTCAACCACACAAGTAAGGACAAACGGGTTGAAAATATTAGGAAACTAGAATGAGCAGACATTTTTAGTAACTGGTTGCATGCTGCAGATGGAGCTTTGACGTTAAATAGTTTACTTGTAAATAAAGGCAAACTGTGTTGTCCTCTAAGGAAGGGAGTGCTTTTAGTTTCTGTCTGTGTTTCATGTGTGAAATCTGTCTCAACATCCATTTAAATGTAGTTTTATAATGACAATAAAAACTCTTGATCTTGATCTTGAACTGGATTTTCAGACGTAAACGTTTAAGCTCTAAACACGTCACAGACTGTGCTGGACAGAATTGTCAGTTTATTAGTAAATATCCTTCGAATGCATTCATCTTTTATTGCAGTAGCATAAACTAACACTGAAAAATGTATAAAGAGAATAAAGAAACTATCATTAATATAATCTCCAGCGACAAGAGTTTTGGAACCTCTTTAAAATACATGTTAAGATATACAGAAATTAAATATATATATTTTTATTTTAATCACTTGGTAGAAACTTCTAATTAGTAATCCCCGACTTTCTGTTTCCCGGAGTAAAAATATGCAGTAAAACAGAGTTTCTTTTGTGATTCATTTTTGATTTGAACTCCATGGTGTTTTATACTTTGTTCACTCATTAGTTTCTGATTCTTTGCTATTTCTGTGTTCTGTTAGGTTTCTGTTTGTTTAGTATGATCCCCTCATGTCCTGTCTGGGTGCCTGCGTGTTCATTTCTGTCTTAATTAGTCATTTTCCCTCAAGTCCTCGGGTTCAGGTCCACACCCTGCTGCAGTGTAGTTAGTTAATTGAGTTCCCATGTCATTAATCACCTACAGCAGCTTTACTGTAAGTCAGTCAGCTCCCTTTCCTCCTCATCTGCTCTGTTGGTTTTCCACCACCCCTGTTTTTCTGTGTTCTTGTTGCTCACATGTTTTCTGTCCCTGCTGTCCCATCATATGTTCTCTAGTTCTACACCTGCCTGTTCATTGGTTTACAGGTTCTCTTGATTAAATAATCACCATCAACATGAGGTTGTCATTTTCAGGTCTGTGTTTGAGTCACATGTCAAAACAGAACATGAAACTATTGTATCTTCTGGTCGACTAGAGAAGGATGCCAGGAAAAAGCCTGACCTGTTCTACCATCACAAATGTAAACGTGCAGTTAAAATGGTTAAAATTGATTTTTTTTTTGACAACAAACATCTTAGTTTGTTAAAGAAAAATAATTAATATGTAGAAAGTAAGTATGGTGAAGGATCTGTGATGCTGTGGGCCTGAGTCTGGGAACCTTACCATGCACTCTGTTTTTAACTTTCTGAAATATTAAGAGATTTGAAAAAAGAAAAGAAAGTTTGACTCTACCAATGCACCGAAAATGAGTTGTCATTTGGTCTCTCTGTATTTTCCAACTATATGAAACATTACAGGAAAAGACAAAGTGCTGTCCTATGAGGAAAAAAAATGAAACCTTCTCCTATTAATCAAAAGTTGAATGTTTCAATTAAAAGATGGATTGTATTACGAATGTCAATGTGGACTCAGACTACTGCAGCATAAGATGAATTCATTTTGATGCTCTGCCAGTAAACAAGCTCATTAATGTACCTCAACTCGTCCAAATCGTTGTCGTAAACATGTTAGTTTATCAGTCGCAGACTGAAACCTGCCAGCTTGCTGCTATTACCTCTGGCTCCTGAGACTCTCTAAAGGTTGCTTTCTGTTTTAAGTCAGAATTGACATCAAGGTCTCTGAACACCACAGCTATTGTCTGCGTGTGGGCGGTAAAAGCCCACTGGCACTATATTTACCACCCTGATGGCGATTATTTACTCACCCCAACAGTCTTTTCATGGCTTGTCCGAGGTCTGGATTAGTCATGTTTTTTTCCTCTGCACTGTAAGCCCCCCTAGAGATAATTCACACAGAGTTGTGCTTGGATTTCAATCTCCGTCGGTGTAGTTCGAGATAATAAGTGCAGTACCCAGGTTTCCATAGCAACTGCACATGATCCAACTGGTAACTGCTTGATCAGGAATAGATGCTGCGAACAGGCGGACATTAAAATTAGGAGCATAGGGCGAGGCGAGGAAAGCATATTGTACGTCCTCTGCGTGGGAGTGAAATCCGTCCTGCCAGCCCTGGAGGTGCCAATGTTTCACCTGACAACACAGTCCTGTCACCAGGGGTGTTTTTTTACTACCACCGCTTAAGAGGATTTACAGTGATGAAGCAGCAAAGTTGGGCTGCTCTCGTTTTCGACACTGCACACTGTTTTATTTGTGAACAATATTGGCTGATTAAGCTGCAACAAAACGAATATCCAAGAAATGTCTAAAGAAAATATAGAAGCTGTGTGTGATTCGCTTTCAGCTCGATATAATCCTTCAAGTTCAAAGGTCGTAATCGAGCCTAGTTAATGTGGGTGCTGAGGGATTTTAAGTGTTAAAAGTTTCAATACAGCGCTGAAGATTTAGATCTCAAAAATTATGAGCAATGAGCAAAATTAAATCATTTAAATACCTTTAAATGATTTAAATGCAGCTACTGTGCATCACTCATTCAGTTCTCTTATATTTGCTTTAATTTGGACATTTTCTTTATTTTGTTTCCACAGCTGATCCAAACACCTTATTTCGCTCCAACTCTCTCGCCTCCAAAGCCATGGAACAGTTCATGAAGGTGTGACAAACTTTGTTATTTTAGTGATGCAAGAGTAAGTGTTTGGTTTCTTTTTTCTGAACGCATGATTTGTCTTTTATTTATGACTAACCCACTTCTGTCCCTGTTTGCAGTTATTGCATTTCCTGTCTCAGTTACAGTGCCCTACAAAAGTCTTAATACCCCTTTAAATTTTTACACATTTTGTGAAGGTGCAATTGGCAAAATTCAATTTCTACCTGAAACAGACCCTCTCTGTAGCACACGGTGATGCACATGGTGATGTTTTTCTTCTGCAGGTAGAATTGATGAGTGGATGCATGAAACTACATGCAAGGCAATCCTGAAAGAAAACCTGTTGAGGCGGCAGGACAATGACCTTTAACATACAGCCAGAGCTGCAATATCATGGTTTTCAAATTTGCTCTTACTTTTTAGATGACGTCCAAGTCCCACTGAGCTTCTATAATTTGGCAAAAGGAACAAAAAAATCAGAGTTTTGCTTGTTGTGTCGCGACCAAATTAGAAAAAAGCTTGAGAGGTTTTAATGCTGTTGCAGGGCACTTTACTGCTAATGCACATCTAATGCGTCTGACTGTATGCGGTTCACTTTCTGCACTGTGCAGAATTTGGAGGACTTTTACACATTTTGAAGCCAAACTCTGTTCCAGTGATGTAAATGAGGTACTCTGATTAAACAATGCTGTCTTGCTGCCAGGCCGTTGGCATGCTGTATCTGCATGAAGTGTTGAAACCCATCATCAATCGCATCTTTGATGAGAGGAAGTACATTGAGCTGGACCCGTGTAAGATTGACCTGAATCGCACAAGGTAAAACAGACATGCCGCAAACCTCATGCTGGATCATACCGCTAATGCAGAAAATCTGATTCTGATCTAAACAACATCGTGCAGGACAGGTTCAGAGATGATTTCAAGTCGCAGATTTATGTGTGCATCTGCTGAACAGCTCAAGTTGAAAATGTGCTGCAAGAGGTTGAGAGCAAGACATACATACAAGAAAATAAAAAGAAATAATAAAAAAAAAATAGAATTTAAAAACGGGGAGGGTTTGTTGCTTGGCAACAACCATGAGCCCCCTGAGATGTGTCTCTATTTCTGACATGGAGAGAGAGAGAGAGAGAGAGTGAGAGAGAGAGAGATCCAGGGTGTAACATCCTTTGAGTCTGCACTGGAAATGCCTATCCTAATCTTTTTCCCCCATTTTCCCTCCCACTGAATGTATCCCTTTTGACATTCTCAGTCTAACACAAAGTAGCTGTGTTCCTCTGTCCAATCTGCACAATATCAGTGTCTTACATTTATTCAGAGTACATTTATCATAATTATCCAGAGCAGGGAGGCCACCACTTGTGTGTAGAGTGGATAAAAGCTGCTTAGTTCTTACATGTTGCAAGTAAATGTAAGCACAAAATGACTCTGGCTGTTTACTGTGTTCCCAAATCTGGCCTTTGTGCCTGAAGACGGATTTCGTTTAAGAGCGGCTTGTCAGAGGCAGAGGTTCGGGACTTCAGCGTGGAGATGCTGCAGATGTATTTAACCAGCATCATCGAATCCATCGTCAGCTCTGTCGATCAGTGTCCTTCGGTCATGAGAGTGGCCTTCAAACAGCTGCACAAGAGAGTGGAAGAACAATTCACAGAGCCGGAGAATGAGGTCAGTGTCGAGCCAGACGCCTAAAAAAACTGGGAAAGATCCCCTGGGAAATCATTCTCAGTTCACGAAATTTTCTTTGAAACTCACTTTAATTTGTACAGGATGTGAAATACCTCGCCATCAGCGGGTTCTTCTTCCTGCGTTTCTTTGCCCCTGCCATCCTGACGCCTAAGCTGTTCCAGCTGAGAGACCAGCACGCTGACACACGTACGAGCAGGACGCTGTTGCTACTCGCCAAGGTACGACATACGGACAGACGTGGGCGTTTTTAGTACGAAACAAAAGGTGAATCGCTGTGCGTCCGTCCCAGAAGTCTGCAGAGAGATGAAACACAAGGCTAATTATTTCTTGTGTTAAGGTTTAATATTTCTCAGTTCCCCTAATTTTTACATTATGTCATACTAAAACCAAAAGTTTCTATGTATTTCATTTGGATTGTATCTGATAGACCAACATAAAGTAGAAGAAAAATATAGAGAGTGCTCCTCCTTATTTAATTTTTTTTTTTTTTTACAAAGAACAATTTCAAAATATACCCTAAAGGAGGGAAGTAATGAACATCAGATTTCACCCATGTGTCATTTCATCTGAGGCCTCAGAGGCCTTTTAAAAAACGTTAGTAAGCAACACCAGGAAGTTGTAGAGAAGCTTAAAGTCCGGTTTAGTTTATAAAAAATAACCCATTATTTAAACAGAGCACAGAGCACCATCTGAATACAGAAAGAGTATGACACAACCACAAACACCAATCAACACTGCAAATCAACCTGACACCACATGCGAAGTGAAACACGGTGGTGGCAGTAACATCCTGCGGGGATGCTTTTCTTCAGGAATGGCAGAGAAACTGATCAGAGTTAATGTGAATCTGGATGAACTACAAAAGGACTAAAGATGGAAGAAAAATGTTTAGAGGCTCTGATTGACTTTGCACTTTTTTGAAAGAAAAAGCAAAAACTCCAGATGTGCGACGTTGTGGAGCGGTGGCTGCTGTGACTACTGCTCACAATTTACTGATTCGAGAGACTGAATATGCACTTCACACTTTTGAGGTACTTAGCAGTACAAAAACTTCAAAACTACGCATAAGTTTTGTTCAACTTCACAATTATACTCCTCTTTGTGCTAGTCTATCACATAAAATCCCAAAAGGATGCATTAAAGATTGCGATTGTAATGTAATGTATAGAAAAGCTCAGGGGGTGTGAATACTTGACACAAGACGCCGAACGAAAACTGTTGATCATGCAAAACACAGGCTGCCGTTCCAGCAATGACGCAGTGAGCAGAGGGTTTCGCTTCTTCACAACGGTTTAAAAATACAGCGTCACATATAGACTGTGTGACAGATTAGACAGACTAGTGCTAGAAAGCCATTAGCACACTGTGACAGAGAGCTAACCACACCTTGAAACGGCAATGACCCACCAGTGTCACTCGAATCAACACCCACCATATCTTTAAAAATAGCAACCGCATGTCACGATCACTTGCTGGTTGTTGAGACCTCACATTCTCTCCAGCGCACGGCTCTGCAGTTGCTGTCCATGGTGCTGGAAGCCTGTTGCCATGAATCCGCTACAGAGACGGCAAGCGGCTATTTTTACCCCTGTATGTGCAGCAACCAGCCCGCAGTTCAAAGTTGAGCTTCAGAGAGGGCCGTAGCGATGGGGGCTTCCTTCTCGCCCCTCCACTAACCCCCTACCGGGGCCAGGTGGAGGCCACACAAAGACCCTCACAGCACGCTTTGGCCCTCAGGGACCCTTCTGATCTTTGACTTTGAGACCTGCTGTCGGTGGGCGGATCTCTGACGTGATGAAAGATATCAGTGGAACAGTGCATGTCGTGTGTTTATGGTCCCCCAGGCGCTGCAGAGTGTGGGCAACCTGGGCCTTCAGCTGGGTCACGGGAAGGAGCAGTGGATGTCGCCTCTTCATCCCATCATCCTCAGCAGTGTGGCCTCCGTCAAGGACTTCCTGGACAAGCTGATCGACGTGGACCACGACATCGGTAAGGCAGACGACACTGAGCGCTCCACCGAACCTGTAATCAGCCAGCAGGAGACCAACTGTCAGAGGGATCTGATCTGAGCGCTATACTGTTGCTCTGTGGTGAAATATTCATAACTAGCTGGAAGTCTGGAAAAGGGATAATACTTGTACACACAACACTGGATACCCAGCACAGCCTTGAAAACACTCCCCCCGTTGCCCCCACCCTTCTTGAAATATTGTATTTCACACCCTGCCTCTTTTTCTCTCCGGTGCCAGTTTGACATTTAGTGCTCTTCAGGTGGAGAGTTTTACAGATCAGGACCCTCATTATTCGCGTAATGAGGCCTTCCTTTTGTAGATTCAGGTGCCACCGCGTTAACAGGGGATCACGGTATAAATAGCTGTCACCAAACAATTAGATCTTATCCATATTATAGCGTAGGGCTCCCTTGTGCCTGTCAGGTTGAACATAACGTTTTCTTCTCCCCGCCGCAGTGTCTTCGGTGCCTCAGAGGGCCGTGTTCATGCCTTCAGTGACGGTGAAGGAGGGGTACCTCCACAAACACAAAGCAGAGGGACCCCAGCTGCTGTCCCGCTTTGCCTTCAAGAAGCGTTACTTCTGGCTGACCAGCGAGACCTTGTCCTATGCCAAGACCTCTGACTGGCAGGTTGGTTTAATCTGCTAATATTCAGTGCCTTTCAAAACTATTAATTTCTCTCAGGCTATTATCTATTTTGTCACGTCACAATCGAAAACCTCGTTACATTGGAACTGTGAAGTGGAAGGAAGCGTGAAACGTAGATTTCAAACTTTTATGCAAAGACAAATTTGACAATTGTGGTGTGGATTTGTACTCAGACTTCTTTAATCTGATATGTTGACATAAAAGCTGCTTGTGTTTGTTAGAGAACATTAGTGGACAGACGGCATCATGACAAACAGGACAGGTCAGCAGTAAAGTTGTGGACATGTTTGAGGTTAGGTTACATCTGGATTAGTAGCTTTAGAAAGGAGTGGCAGGAGGAAGACATTGTTCAGAGAAATTGCAGCTTGCCCCAAACCTGTAGGGGACAAGGCCAGGTGTTCCCTAGTCCTTAAGGCACACTGCCCTCATGTTTTTAGATGTTAACACATCTGATTCAGATGGTTGCAGTTCAACAAACGCTTGGTAATCAACCAAAACATGCAGGGCAGTGTGCACCAGGGTTTCACCAGGGTTGTGAAACTTTGCTCTGGTCACATGAAAGAAAAAAATGCAAATGTAAATCTCTGCGTGTGGTCGTGTACCAACACTGCATCACTCTGTAACGGTGAGAATTGGTGTGTTCAACATTTCACACCAACACACCGAGAGTCGCACTGTGGGCAAATGTCACACTTGGTGTGTTCAAGTGTGACACTTTAGCACCACTTAAATACGGAAACACGGTGGTGGCAGCACCGACCTCTGCAGGGACAGGAAAGTTGGTCAGAACTGAGGGGAAGATGGGAAGGTGAACACAGAACAATCTTAGAAGAAAAACATCTAGAGGCTGAGATCAGCCTTGATGCAGGACAATGACCCTGAATGTGCAGCCAGTGGAAAGATCTAAATTAAAATATATTCATGTGTTAGAGGCTTTGACTGACCTGTTTTGCAGAAAAACACTGGAAAACACGCTCAAGACCTGCAGCTGTAAAATTCTCAGGGTTGTTGAATACATTTAACCAACATATTTCCAGATTTTTATTTGTAACAAACAATATACATAAATGTGCATATAAAATACATATACAGCTTTGTGATTGCAAACGTGGAAATGCTCAAGGGGTGTGAATACTTCAGCAAGACTGTGCCGTTTGTACAGGCATTTGTGCTGCGAGTTGTTTCTGAATCCATCTGTTGTTTTTATTGTTTTTATGTAAAAGTTTTTTTTGTCTTTTAAATCGGACTTCCAGAGGAGCCCTGAACAGCAGGGGGAAGAGAGCATTATTTCTCCAAGTCTTTTACTGTGACGCCTGGACGAATTAGCAATAAAACAATAATTATTTCTCCTTCACCAGATGAAAGACAAGTGAAACCGAGTAATTGATTTTGGAAGCTGGCTGGCCGTCTTGTCATGAATTACTCACAGGTTGCGGCTTTGAACAGAGATTTATCAGCGCGGAGGAAACGAGAAAATGGGGAAACCTTTTAGCCAGCCCCGTCGTGTTTTGATGTATTTGTGAGATCATCATTAGAGTTATTACCATGCAGAGTCTAACCTTGTAATAATGATCTCCTCTTATTTATTGTCCAGAGGCTGCAATTGAGAGAGAGGGAGGCAGAGGGAGAGAGAGAGAGAGAGAGAGAAACATGGCTGAGGAACAGCCCCTTAAAAAGCGCTCTCTTTGAGCCGGTCCCCCGCTTTGTGTGACCAGAATAAAAGGCGAGGTTTAATTGAAGGCTCTGGATATTCATGCTAACGTTGCAAATCAGATTGCAGACAATGTCCTGGCCCCTTCCCTCCATGGTCGGAGCACTCCATCCATCCTCAGTGAGGCCAGCTCCCGTCGGAAATGGCTGATTTACACTTAAAAGTAGCCTTCACTGCCACACTGATCTCATCTTCAAATCTTTATTTTTTTTATTTTTTATAGCTTTACTGCTCATGAAATATACATACTCTGCCGTTATTAGTGTCTTGTCTTGATGTTTCAGCTTTAGTTGAGGTAAACCAAAAACTGAAATCGCCTCTTGGTGAGGAGTGACGTATCGTCACTGGTGTGCGTTAATCGTTGGATGAACTGTTGCAGGTGCGCTCCTCCATACCAATTCAGCGTGTGTGTGCCGTGGAGAGGGTGGACGAAAACGCCTTCCAGCAGCAGAATGTAATGCAGGTCATAACACAGGACAACGATGGGAAGCTGAACACCATGTACATCCAGTGCAAGGTGCGCTAGTGCCTTCGCTAATCAGTCACCATCTGATTCATTACCTTTTTTTTTTTTTTTTTTTTGCCATTTGTTAGTGGCAATAAGTTTTTTTTTCTTTCTCCCGTTGTGTTGTTTTTGTCTCAACAGAACGTGAATGAGCTGAACCAGTGGCTGTCTGCAATAAGGAAAGTCAGCATCTACAACGAGCGCATGCTGCCTTCTTTTCACCCGGGCGTCCATCGCAGCGGCAAGTGGACCTGCTGCCTGCAGGCGGACCGTGCTGGTGAATCACGGCGTTACTTACTCCTACTGCTGGAAAGATCCCGAGAGGACTCGGGATGGGTTTTGTCCACCCGCTTTCTTGCGCTGACTGCAAAATTATCCATACGCCTTGAACTTTTTCCACATTTTTTCTCATCTAAATCACAAACCTTATTTTATTTTATTTTTTTTATTAAGGTTGAACACTTGTAGAGCTTGTAGAGCTTTCAACACTTGTAGAGCTAGCACAAGTGGCATATTATTGGAGGTTGGATTAAAAGAAAAATACTTCTTTTTTTTTTTTTTTTTTTACAAATAACAAAACTGATTAGTTTGGTATGTCCCCTGTGTGGTGGGGTGCTGGTGCCTATCTCCAGCGAGACTCCGTTACACTTTTAGACACTGATTTGTGCACTATGTATTACATTTCCTTTAGTTTTACCATTATGCACTACTTTATGTTTTTGTTTTGTTTTTTATTACATAAATCCCAATAAAATCCACGTACATTTATAGTTGCAACGCACTGAAAAGGTTACCATGCAAAGCCCTGTGTCACTCATTGCCGTCTCAGAGCGTAGCATGTTCTGTCTGCAAATAGCTCGGGCCAAAAATACAGCCCCTTTTCCACCAACCTTTCGATGACCTCAGACGAGTTTAGTTTAACTGTATTTAACACGTCACCATTTCGCTCTTGTGTCTTCGCTGCTTCGTGCTCAAGCTGTCTGTAGCGGCTTTAACGCAGGAAGATGTTAGCTCTGTGTAGGTGTGTTCAGATTTATTAAAAGAAAACAAAAAACATTCTGCAGCACTGTACAAAACGAAAGGGGCGTTGTTGGTGTTGAAATAATTTTCCTCTGCAGGGCGCCACACTGCTTACACCATGATTTGTAGCTGAATCACCTTTTAGTTGTCATGTGGAGCGCCACCCTTTTTAACCAAAAGGTTTTGTTTCAGTTTCAGGCTGCAGCAGAACCCACTCGGCCGTAACTCTGGGCGACTGGAGTGACCCGCTAGATCCCGACGTGGAGACTCAGATGATATACAAGCAGCTTCTCCAGGGCAGAGACAAACTCAGGTCAGCGTCTGCATTTTTTTTTTCCTTTTTTTTTTTTCAGCCTGGATGCAGCTCATTTGCCAGTCACTAGAGGTCTATGTTGCATTGCAAGACTGCTCTGCTCTGCTCTGCTGCTGCTGCTCATGATAATCAACCTTGCAGAGAGTCATGCATCTCTCTGCCACTAAACGAAAAGGCTGATGAGTTTCCAGAGGCAAAAGATGAGATAATGTGACGAGATTCTAACTGATGCTGCAGGAAAAAATACCTGGAGATGGAAGAAGCAGATCCGACGTCAAGCAATAAGGAAACGAGGATAAGCCCTGATATTCACCCAGGTGAGATCAGACTTTTGCTATAGAGGAAACTGTAAATGTGAGTTTGTTTTGACAGTGTAAAATGCATTTTTACAACAAAAATCCATTTTAGATCGCTTGCTGTGTTTCTCTTGGATTTGAATTAACGGGGAAAGCTTATTCTGTGGACTTCTGCCTCCTAGACGGCGCCGAATGCAACGCTCCGCCGACGAGACCTGGTCAGAGCGTCGCCGCTCGGCTGCTGGTGGTGATAGAGGATCTGGAGCAAGCTCACGCCACCTTCCAGCTGAGAGAAATAGAGGACGCCACCAGAGTCATTCTGAATCCCTAGGCTGCACACGGCCTCTGATCTATTAATGCCTGAAAGGAGGGGCGGGTGTGTAGGAGATGCTGGAGGAGGAGGAGGGGAAGCAGACACACACTCATGACTGTCACAGAGGAGAAACTGCGACCTCGTCCAGCCTGTTGGTGTAAAGAGCAACGGAGTCGCTGTAATCTCTATCTGTGCTTTCTGAATGCCACCAATGAGGAAGGTTACGACACGCGATGCTAAAATGGAGGGGGACTTTGCAGCATGACCTGGATGTTATATATATTTTTTGTAGATAACAAGCAGTCCGCTGCATGGCTTGCATCCACTTGTGAAATGTGACAAGCTTTTATATTTCAAGATATTTTACAGGACTTGAAACATTTTTATGCAAAAAGGCTTGTTGTAGTGTACTGTACAGTTCTTAAACGTAAGGTGATTTGATACTTGTGGTTTATCACTCATGTTTTGTACCCCGACTGAGGCAATTCACCGCCAAGGCCACTTTGTAGCAGTTAATTTAACATCACACGTCATTCCAAGTGATGTTATGTTAAAGTAATGCTCAGTGTAACGCTACCTATATTAGCAATGCCTACATGTCCTTTTTTTTTAAAAAAACAAAAAAAAAACAGCTTTTGTCTTTGGTGCTGTGGCCATTTGATTATATAAATTGAGCTCTGATGTTATTGTTTTTCATATTTAAGCATTTCAGAAATTTGTATGGGCAATATTTACCTGACTCAAAAGTGTCAGGCTGTGTTTGAGATGCCAAATAGTTTTTTTTGTTTTGTTTTTTAACAAACCTCAACAAGCCAATACAGAAATTGGTAAATTTATTTTCTGAAAATGAAGCAGGTTGGGTGTTTGAAGTGCAGAGCAGGGGGAAACAACTGAGATCAGATGTTATTGAGGAGAACCTCGGCTGGTTGCTTTTATGTTGTTTTATTTTGGGGGAACGTTCTCCCTGCCATGCAGGCAGCGTCTTGTCCAAGTATTCATATCCTCAAGAAAGAATATTTACCCTCATTACAACCACAAGCCCTAATGCGTTTCATTAGGATTTTATTGGGTTGAGTCATACAAAGTGACGTCAACCAGGAAATGAGATTCGGTTTTCAAACTTTTATACATGTAACGTTTTTGAAAACTACAAAGTTTTGAAAAACATAAATAAATAAAAATCCTTTTGCCAGCTTTCACAGATTTTCTTCCACAATTGTCTGGGATTCTTCTAAATTCTGAGAAGTCTTTTTGTCACTGATAAAAGAAAGAGCATCCCCACAGTAAAATGCTGCCACCGCCATGTTTCAGTGAAGGGATGCTCTTGTCTGATTAATGTTCTCCTCGCTTGGCCTGTCGGTTCTGGTGGCCATGTCTCCACATGTGTGCTATACTCTTTCCTTTGTCACGAAACAGCTGGCTGCACTTCATTTTATTTAAGGCCATCAAAGTAAAAGAGGCTTTTCAGAAAGAAAGTATTTTTCTTTCAATACTCAATTTTAAGCTACTTTGTGGTTGTCAGGTTACAGCTGACAGTAAAGTTTGACAAAATGTGGGAAAGTTAAAGGGTATGAATAGTTTCCCAAGACGCTGTTAAGTCCATCCTTTTCCAGATGTAGAAAAAGAAAGTCATATTGAACAACGTTATAAATGGGGGACCTCAAAAGAACCAGAAAAGTGGAAGCTATTCATCATATTTTTGATTTTGGAATTAGATGTTATTCATTTTCTGTGCTGTAATTATTTAAGAATTTAGGGCTGCTGCTTTGGAGGGATGTCGTGTGACAGCTGGGAAAAAAAAATCAAGTCTTTGCAGTTTGCATATTAAGATATTTTATGAAGACACTAAACAAGCCATAACTTCAAAAACTTTTAAACATATCCGACTTATTTAAGTGTCTGAGTGCCCAAACCTTGGTGCTTCTTAGTTTTATTCCCATGATCAAAGTGTAGAAGTCAAAAGTAAAATGATAATGATGTGATTTTGTTTAATCAATTGATCGTAGCTTTTCTAAGAAAAAAAGAAAAGAAAATGCAAGTACCAGGATCTTTTACCTGTGGTTTTTATTTTATTCTGCTTTGAATGAATCCCATGTGTTAACCTGCCAAGTGATACGAATCCTCTCAGAACCAGAGAAAGCGTTGTCGAAAGGACAAAACAAACATGTTAGCAGGAGGGGGAAACACAAAATAACGATTTGTTTCAGGTGTATTTGTAATCGTGGGAATGCCTGTATTTAATGACTTCACCCCTTGTGCTGCAGAAAGAAATAAAGTGGCAGTGTTAACTTGTCTGCAGGCTGGCTGCTGTCCTAATTAAATACAGCCACATCTACTCATTCATGACTTAGCGAATAATGTGACGCTGCAGCAGCTGATCCCATAAAGCTCCATCGGTCGAACGAATCGTTCAATCAAAACCCACGAACCGGAAATTAGCCGATCCAGGAGCTGCCGGTGTTGAATGGGGGGACTGAATGAATCCAGACACTGACAGATCCCAGAGCTCACTTTTATTTCCACCAACCACAGCTCCAACAGTCAGAGTAACAAAAAATGACCGTAAAGCAGATTTACTGCCGGCGAGAAGCGTCTCTGCAGCTCCCTCGAAGCTCATTTCGATCCACGGAGCGAGGAGGGGAGCAGAGAGCTGTCTGCAGCAGCCCAAGTAAGAGCACATCACATCTCTGAGGTCGTTCAGAAAAAAATAAAAATAAAAGGGGGGTGGGGGGAATGGGTGGAATAAGAGTCAAGGTGAGAAAATCCCTCAGAGCCTCCAGTGGCACATATATTTTATTTTTTCCACAAGGAACACACAAACATGCAACAAGGTCATCACAATTCAATAAAGACTGATTGATTAAGAAGCCCTTTATAGTTTAATCAGTGTCTCCCAATAGCTTGCATTTTTGTTAATGTCACACTGCTGGAGGTTAAATCGATTAACAATAAGTGACCGTTTAAAATATTTAATGAAATGACCACCTAAATGCATTAAAAAACAAACAAACAGAAAAACTTTAAATACCATATTGAGTCTGTAGACGCCTGTTGCTGCCTCCAACAGGTTCATCTCAATAAACCAGAATATCATCAAAATGTTATTTCCATAGATCTATTGAAAAAGTAAATAAAAAAAAAACATTGTATAGATTGTGTTGTGTGGAAAATGTTGTGTAATGGCCAAAGCGATCGTGGGAAAACTGCTGACGGTTGTCCAGCAGTCAATCGCTGATATGTTTCCAAAGGAAGGGAAACCACAAAAGTTTACAGTTTGAGTCCAAGCACACTGACAGAGAGTTAAGTGTAAGGGAAAAAGTGTGGTGCAGAAAGGGGCGGATAAGCAACAGGGATCACTGCTAAAGAAAACTGGCTTTTCACATAACGCCGCATGTTAATGGAAGGTTCAGTAGAAGGAAAAAGTGTAGAAGGTAGTTGGTTCTTATACACAAGTGTGTTCCTGGAAAGGTGAAGCGGGGACATGCTACCTGTTAGAGTGCTGCATGCAAGCATGCTAATGGAAAGTTAAGGGGAAGGAAAAACGTAAAAGTGAATAAGCAACAGTATGTAACTGCCTCTATACAAAACGCTGTATAAAAGTGTGTTAATGAAAAATGTAGTGGAGGAAAAACCAGCTTCTTTAGCAGCGACTTTTGTGTCAAAGACTGACCTGCTGGTCAACTGTGGAATAAGCCGTCTGCTTGCTGCGTAAGCGACAAAATCTTTATGTTATAGATTTATTTATTTTTTTTTTGCCTTTTGCAATGTTCACATTTATTTTCTGACAAACTGAATTTTAGTCTTTCATAAGTTGTGAGCTACAACAAAGAAAACAAACAGAAGTACGTAACGATTAAAATACGTCAGAATGAACCTATAGAGACAAAAGTCTCACTTGGCGAATTAAATAATTGAAATAAAAGTACTTTTGATTATATTTTTTTATTTATACAGATGTGCCTGTAAATCAAAACCAATAAAGGCGATAAGATCTTTCTAACCTACTAAAGAATTCAATAAATCAATCTCTTTTTTTTTTTTTTTCCCCAGAAGACACTATGATGTTTTCATAGACAGAACTATGCATTGTCAATACACTTACAGTTTGGCTGACATGCACCTCTAGGAGAACATTACTGCATCTTGAAAGGACATGAACGTAAGCTTTGTTTACTGGAGACACACACACACACAGACACACGCACACACACATGGGAACAAAAACCCAAAACATTTCCACAGTTTTCAGCAGACACTACAAGAGAGTACAGCTGTAAATATATTATGTAATAATAGCTCTGACCACTTATTCCGCCTCTAATCAAATGCAAAAGTATGAAGTGAATAAACAGAACGAAGCAGTAATGTTACATAAGATTCCTTTTGGAGACGATCATTAAAAAATACATAAAAATATATGTTTTCAAATACATCGCATATTATCGTCCTCAGACTGAAACCTCCCCCCTTTTGCTCACAAACCAGGAGGTAGGCAAACTATAGAGGAAATATCCGCTGCCATATAAACCAGTCCTGCTACAGACAAGCTGTGCACTAGAGCTTAAAAATAGGAAATTGCATAAAAGCCTTCTCTCTCTTTATATTCAGGCAGATCATTTTCTCTCCGTTACCGAAACTTCATCCGACATCGAAAGAACGAAGGAAAAAAATAAAAAATAAAATCCCTGATTCACAGCTTTCTCTCCTGCTGTCCCGTTTATTTATTTATCTTTTTTTTTTTTTTTTTTTTTTTTTTTTTTTTAAGAGTGTCAGGAAGGTGCGAAGGAGGAAACCCCTGGAAAAGGAACCGTTTTTAACATCTGGGTCAAACATTGTACTGTAATTCTTCAGAAGTTTTTTTTGTTGTTGTTGTTTAAAACAGATAACATACAAAAAAAATTACAGGACAATTTAGATGATAAATACCTTTTCAAACAGCTGATGTCTTTGGTTCTGGGGACCGTGGTTACAGCTTTTGTTCTTGCTATGAGCCAACATGCTTGTTTTCCAGTTAATAACTTGGCAATGGGTTCCACTGCACTCATGTTGCACACACACACACAGTTAAGGATAACTCCACAGACACAAGCCTTTTATTTCAGCTTGTTGCCTACAGTAAGGGTGCGTTACCCAGCCGCTGGTGACTGACGGTGCTGCAGACATTTACAGAGGAACGGAGCTTTTCTGTGCTTTTGTCCTCCGTTTAATTTACATTTAATGTGGAAGTTTAGAACAGCTTGTCTTGGTAGGTTACCAACTTATCATTATACATATATTTTAACCTGGTTTAGGTTCCACTCATCAAGTGACGAAATTTAACACATTCTTTTGTGTCATGCAATCCAAAACTATCCTCAGATATCCTGTTTTTGTGGAATTGCAAATGTGCACAACTTTGTACCCTGCACACTTATTGGTAGCCCTGGTAAATATGTGTTAAAACTCTTGAATTCATCTTTCATTGGGACACCCTGCCCCTTATCAACCAAGTGTCAAGGGCAAAAGATAAACCTGTAGATTCTTACTGACAAAACTCACACTGAGATCACTTGTTGCAGTTCCAGTATTTTTTTTTCTTTCAGCTACTTATGATTAATATGCTGCAGCCCAACTGGAAAGGTATGTTCTCTTGTCTTTCCCATTTAAGGTGTGGCTAAGAGCATATTGGCCTCTGCATCATATTGGCTAACTATAATTTACCTGAGCAGATCGGAGTAAGATGTGTTAAAGAAATAAAAACGATTGTGTTAATTCATCATAACGAATTGTAAGGAGTTCCAATAATTGTGGTACCTGTAATTTTGAGGAAAAAATAAATACATAAAAAAAAATAAAGCAAATTTCTCTTAAAGTGTAATTTTATCTCGACTAAAAAAAAACTATACTTTTGTTTTTATTTTTATTTTCCATACCACATCTTTACCCAGGGAACCAAAGAAAGAGGGAGGAGATACACTTCCGAACACTATCAGCATGTGTTGGTTTATTTTACCATTATTTGACACCAATTGAAATATTCCTACTTCCACGCAAATGTTTTTTGTTTTTGTGTGTTTGTCCAATATGACCAGATCTTTAACTTGTAAGAAATATGTCAAGCATTTTTTGGGGGTTTGGGGTATCATGTTGGATTGAGTGTTAAATTATCAGACTGGGAATTCCTTTCCTACTGACATTATTGCAAACGACCAATGACGACTGATGGTAAAGATGATTGTTTTTATGGTCTTTGATTTGGTTTACGTGCTGGTCTAATGTTTCATTTTTGCTAAAACCACATCTTACATTTATATCTGCAATTTCACCTTCAGACTGCACAGAAAGGATTTCAAGTTCTGGGCAGGTAAGAAGAAGAAGAGGAAAAGTGGCCTAACTCGTTGGGGAAAAAAAAAACAACATATCTTCATGCTAACCTTCCCTCGCCAATAATAAAAGTCGATTTACTGGATTTACTGGCGTCCGACAGGAAATCAGCAATGCAGATTCTACGTTAAGGTAAGGACAGCCGCTTTCTAACACTACTTGTAATATACAACGTTCATGACGTGTTTCAGTCCCTGACGAACTGACAAACTTTGCCAGAATCCATTTTTGACATGTGTTTGCGTATAAATATGTGGGACAATCTTTTTTTTTTCCGTATATATAAGAGTATAAAAATAAACTAAACTTACGCCACCGACTCAAACTGAGCTCGAAATTAAAGGTATATCACATCTGCAATTATATATCATACATATACTATATATATATATATTGTTTTTCTTTAAAGCATCGCAAGTCAGTTTATAAACATCAACTTTAAAAAAAAGACAGAAAATAGCAATTTTAGACATCTTCTAAAAAAAATAAAGTAAAATAAAAAGACTGATTAAACAGAAAAGTTGCCTCAAGGTGCTATGGAAGACTATGATTCAGCCCCCGAACCAACTCGTCGAATTGATCACATACACTCAGGAGGATTATCCACCGACAGGTTGCAAAGAAACATTATGAGGGCCTTGAGAAGCTCAAAGCTCTCAGATGTTACAAATGAGGAGGATGCAGGAAAAACAAGCAAACAAAAAAAACCCTTCTCTGCCAAAACGCAAGATGAAATTTTGCACCCCTCTTCAACTCTACGGCTGAGAAGAAGCGAGGTCGAAGCCGTGCGTCAGGATCAGCTTAAAACGACTCTGCGTGAGCTCGGTCGGGGAAATGAAATGTTTCACTGCTCGCCGTATGGGCTGCGGAGCTCGGTGTGCTGCCCGTCACGGGAGGCTTGTGTGTCGCAGGCGAGCTCGGAAGAGGAAAAATCGTTGGTGTCTGAGAGGGGGACGTCCATCTGGGAGCTCAGCTGTTCCACTCAAGGACTTAAAACCGGCACTGCGACGCCTCGCAGCAGGGCGATCGCGCTCTCGCTCCTCCCGTATGGTCGGGCGTGATGGATCGAGCCGACGGCCGGGGAAACTTTCGACAGCGGAGAATAATAATAAAGCGGAGCTTTCTGTCCGCGCAGAGGTCGGCCTCATCAGCATCGCCAACGAAACGGATGAGTTTGACCTTCAGCGAAATCCTGCTGCGCAACCTCGACATCCTGTTAGTTGCAGGGCTTTGTTTCGGCCCGTGTGAGATTTGCTCTCTCCGCCAAGCAAATCCAAAATATACGTTTGGGTCTGCACCTCTCAGACGTCTAAACACTTTGCAGAATACCGATTGGTAAACAAATATAAATAAAAGTTGAAGATGACCTTAGATAGCTTTCACCATATCAGGGATTTTCACCTTAAGAGTTGCCCAGGCGGTTTGCTTCGTATTCACACCCCCAGCCGCAAACTTTTAAGCATTTTCATTTGTATTTTTCTTTGTGGAGATCACCACACATCACCTTGAACACGCCATCCCCAAGGCGAAACAGGATGGCGGCAGCATCATTTTCCTCAGCTGGGGCGGAGGAGCTGGTTGGCGTTAATGGGCAGATGAATGGAGTTAATTAAACGGCAGTAATGGAAGAAAACAGAAGAATCTGAAGACGAGCGCAGGCTCATCGGGACAACAACCCTAAGCAAACATGGTAGTGAGTTAGACGGCTCAGTCAAAGCCCAGACCTCGACATCTGTCCCAAAAGAATTGCTGCAGTTGTAGTAAAAGGTTATTTGTAAAAGATTTTGAAAACCATCGTTTTCCGTTTCACTTAACTACGCGCTGTTTTGCGTGAGATTGCTGCACAAAATCCCAATTGAAGTTTATGGTGATGATGTGACAAGGGGTGTGAATACTTTTGCAAAACACGGTTACTGCAATTATCAATTGTAGAATCAAAAACAGCAAAGCAAAAACAAATTACGGTTAAAAATTCTCTCCTGCGTATCTTTGTTATGACAGGCAACAACCGATCCTGCCGTATTTGCTCGACATTCATTATGCAGCAATAGTCGGGGTCATGCATTCAAAAGCTTAGCCTTTAAAACACGTCTGATTTGGACCCTGACCTTCCAACTCGTAAGCGTAGAGCGTTTCAGGGGTTTAAGTCTAAAAGGGGTTTCACGTGCAAAGTGTGGCCTGCAGCTTCCGACGCGAGTATAAAGCCAACCTCGCATCCTCCTCTTGGAGGGAGGGAGCTCCTCGCGGTGGGACTCGACATCCTCAAGGCATGGATCGGGAGACAGCTGGGTGGAGATCAAACATAAAATCTGAACCATTGGTTTCTGCTTCTATTGCTCTTAGTCAGCCACTTCTGAAGGAACGTCTCAGGCTGTAAGCTGTTAAGGAGTCGCCAGACGTAGAGACTGGCACATCATGCATCGTCCCTTTGTTCTCTGAAGTACGCCGTGTTGCTGGTCGCCGCTGTGGCCGGCACGTCAGTCCTTCAGATTGTCCTCGCCGACGCCCTGAGCCGACAGCTCCGTCAAGACATTGTCCAAGTAGTTGGGGTCGGGGTAGCCGTGGCCGGTCAGGTTGGAGCCAAACTCCGTCTTGTGGTGAATCTCGTTCCACACGACCGTGTCCGACTCCCCCGTGGTGCTGGATGTGCCGATGGTGAAGATAAGGCGGCGGTCCCACGCCATGATGAGGAGTTTTAGGACCTGGAGATTCAGAAAAAACAAAAACAAAACAAAAAAAAAAAAAACAACAAAAATATAAATCCAACTTTGGACAAAAGGTAAAATATATATATATATATATATATATATATAAATAAAAGGCTTATTCCTCGTAGAGTAATTAGATACCTCTGTCCCATAACCTGCAGGATTTTACTGAATTTAAATATACATGCAGATGCAGAGAGAGACACGTCATTTATATGAAGAAAGTAAAAAAAAAAACATAATTTCCAGTTAAATAATAATAATAAAAAAGAATATCCTAAAAATCAGTGCTTGCACATCTACGAAACCGCTGATCGGCTGCAGATCATCTGCTGCCTTTGCGCAGCACGTTTACTTCCTGGGACGGAAGTCGGCGCTCACCCTCCTGCCTTTCTCATTGTCGGGGAGGTAGCAGTGTCGAGGGAAGCCTCTCGCACTGAACTTCTTGCCGGGGTTGGGGTGCTCATTGGTCTGACGTGAAGAACAGAAAACACATTTTTAGACTCTTTTCTTAGACCAAGTACAGCTCAACAAGTGCTGGAAATCTCCACGGCGCCCACACGACAAGCTTCATCGTCAGCGTTACTTAAACAGCCCTTGGGGATAGTGAGGATGTGGCGCGTACAGTACTTGATCATGTTTCAGAAAGGCTGTTTGAAGCCCCGCCTCCTCCATGTGGAAATGAAATCACATCATATTGATAAGAAGAGAAACATGCAATCGCTATAGCGTGGGAAACGTGTTTCCCAAAATCTGATATTAACTTTTTGGGATGAATCGTTTTGTCGTCCTTGTTTGTTTCGAAGAAGGTCCCGCTGTTATGTCAGACATTTCCCTCAAATGTCGCAATAACAGATCGCCTTACGAATAATACCACTGTGACGTTTTACTCGAGCTCCGGAATCTACTGAAAGCCGTCAGGGTGCAACGCGGAGAGTGGAGGGAAGAGGGCACAGAGAGACTCAGCAGACTTCCAGTAATGTCCCTGCTAATGATGGATCGTGCTGCGGCGCTGACCGGAGTGGTCGTGACCTCGAGTATTCTGACCCTGGGGACGCGGAGGCTTCTCTGCCGGAGGAGGGAAAAGGTCAGTTTATTGTCTCTGTTAATGCTAATCTCAGCGGTCAGGATAAAATACGCAGCGCTCTGGTTTTCAGACTGGGACTGCACGCGCCAAAAGATAAACCACACCCACAGCACTGAGACTGCAGTTTCCTCCAAGTCCCAAGCAAGCGCTTCACCTTTCTGCACAAGCGTCCTTCTGACGAAACGAAGCAGATAAATCGGCTGAAGAGGTTCAGACGCGGGGAGAGACAGCGGATCGACGCGAGGAGGCGGCTGCATTGGATCCAGTGAATGAGACGGGCCTCACCTGGATCCCGGCGGGGATGTCGTACACGATGCGGATGGTTTTGCATTCCGAGTAGCCGGGCAGAGAGTGGGGGATGACGTGGTACTCCATCTTCCCAGGGGGTTGGGTGCCTGTTTTCTCCCCGTAGATTGTCTTACACGTTGGGCACTGCAGGCTGCCGTCCTGGTTGCAAAGAAAGCGAGCTTAGTTAGAGTCAATCACGCGATAACGACTGCTGCTGCTGGCGCGTGAGTTAAAGACTTCAGCGAGAGAAATACAATACTCTGTCTGAGACGAACTGAAGGCAATTTGTGATCAAAACTTTAAAGTCCTGAAGTTAAAAATGCAGGAGAAAAACAGCAACTTCGTGCTTAAAGTGAATCGACGTCCGCAGACGTGGTAAATATACGTCTGGGTTGGGTCAGTTTTCTCCTTTACGTCCCCTCCCCCACCTGTTGCAGAACATGGGGCGACAGAAAACTACTTGACTTAAAACAGAGAAAGATTGAACTGATTCAAATCATTTACAATCGCAAAAACAAAAATATGTGACTGGATCTATGAAGATGTAGTTTGTAAGCTACCAGAGCAGATAGCTGGGCTAATTATCCAGTTTATATCTGGTGATTAAACTCCCTGTGCTAAAAAGTAATTCACCTCTTTACAGATTTCATCCGTTTGTGGCTTTTTATCTCACTTCAAGTTTTCAGAATACCAAACTTGTACCAACTGAGACACGCAGTCATCATGTTTAAAGATTTTATCGATTCTAGACGTCTGCCAGTTATTCAGTCTAGGTTTGCTTGTGGGTAAAAAAAAAAAGAGTTAATCTTAGTTAGTTCATTATTAAGAAGAAAAAAAAACAAATTGGGTAGCTTTAACCTAAAAAAAGAAGAAAATCAATTCATCATTTAGAAAAAATAGATTTTTTTATTTCCTAGATAATATTTATTGCTGCAAAGAAGGTTGTTAGAAACAGCCCGTCATTTACCTACTTTGAGGGGTTTTTGTTGCAGTATGCATCTTGTGATAAAATCAGCACGTTAAAATTGAGCTGGATGAAATGATGCATGTTTTTTTTTTTTGCATAACTCCAGCAAATGAAAGTAAATAAAAACCGAATTACAGTTGCATTTCAGAGTAAAAGTCTAAACTCATGTGAGAAGCAATGTGAAGTTTTGCTATTAAAAAGGTTAAGTAAGACATTTACTTACAGGTTTCATTTTTTTTTCCAGAAAAAAATGAAACCTGTTTAAGGCAGAACAATGGAGCCCATTTAATGTATGACATTCGTTTTTCTTTTTGAAACTTAAAACTGAACACTCACCAGTGAACCCGTGTAGGTGGTAAGAGAGAGAGAGAGGAGAGAGGAGGGGGTTTGGCGCTTTGAGTGATTAAGTACTTTGCATACTCGTTGAAAGGCATTGTTATAATTTGTAAATGCCATATTTAATGTTATGATTAGCACAAAAGCTGAAAAGCAAAAGACAAAACCTATGAAACTGCCCCCACGCTGCTCGTTAGCTCCACGCGCATTTTTAAGGTGCAATCAGAAGAACCGATGACGGCCGACTAAATGCGCTTTCTGCATTTCAAGGAGTCAAAATGAAATCAACAGAATTCGCTGTGATTTTATGAAACGCCGTGCTGACACACAGGTTCTATGCTCAATAATTTACCGCCGTTGTGAGAACCAATCGAGCTCTGAGATATCGAAAGGTTTATTTGAGCCTGGAGCGACATCATAACAACGTCTGGCTCGCAAGCTTTTACCCACCTTATTGCCATTGTTGTACATGGCCACCAGGCACAGCAGATGGTACATGTGACCACATTTGCCAAGTTTGCCCACCAACTCTGGCTTGATGCCTTTGTGCTGCAGGATGCCTTCGTAGCCCGATGACATCGCCAGCCTCTCCATGCAGATGGTGCAGTCCTGGAAGAGCCAACCAGAAATACTTCTGCTGCCATGGTTGCGTGTGTGTGTGTGTGTGTGTGTGTGTGTGTGAGTGAGAGTCTTTCACTCCCAGTTAGGATGCTGAATAGTGACAGATTGCATCTGTTGGTAGATAGGAAACTTTTTGCTGCTTTTTTTTTTTTTTTTTTCCTCATCTGGCACCACTTTAATCTTCTCTGTGTATCTTCGGACCACATCCTCCGGGTTTTTACCTGGTTATGAAATCAAACAAAAAGAAATGATCCTCCAACAAATTGTAGCAAAACCTGAAGTATGATTAAACATTTTTTTTTTTTCGCCTTGAAACGAATTAATCTTTTATCTCAGAAGCACAAATTCACCCTGAAAATGTCAGAACATTTATTCAACAGGGGGAAAAAAAACCCCAAAAAACATTGGCACAATTATTAGCACTCCTGTTGTACCACAGGCCACAGGAGTGCTAAGCTAAGAAACTGATTTTCCCGTTTGGCTAAAAGAAATACTTTTATTGAATGTTCCAAATGATTGGACGTATTACCACATGTACTTTCTATCTGCAAAATTAATTAAAAGGTTTTGCCTTTGTCCTCAAAACAACAACACATTTGTTTCTTTTGTAAAACACATGCTTTCACTAATTTGAGTTTTATGAGTTTGCAACACGAGATAAGTGTGTTACAATATAGATTTATGGCTGCACGAAGAGAAACAAGTAATTGTGATAATGCAACTTAAAAATGTGATAATGCAGCTCAAATTTCTCTGACCCTGCTTTCTTTTCTACGGTGCAAACAGGTTTTCAATGACTTGGCTCCCAGGTTCTCATTGCGATAAGGTTGATTTTTATGTTAGGTGAAGCATTTCTGTTAATTAGGCAACATCAAAAAATCATTATCCTGCTGAAAGACTTGATGCCGACCCATTTTCATTATGCATCGTTTCATTATTCATTGTGCCATGAACTCCAGCTACATAGGCTCCCCGCGGCCTTCGGAAAAGAAACACACCATCTCAGGTTCGTCGCCGTACGCGACACCGGACGGCTTTTTCACATATTTATACTTCGTTTCAAGCCACACCTACACTTGGATGCCAAAAAAACACAACAACTTGATATTCTCACAAATCAAAGCACAGAGATCCAGTTAAGCTGCTAACAGAGTTCAGCAAAATCCATGTTTGTGTTTTTAAAATTATGAAGAAAATGATTACCCTCCTGGTTCCCCGGTTCGTGGCTGAGATGTGAACTGCGTCTCATGTTTGTTAAGGAAACTTGTCCTAAAACGGTGAGTTTTGACTTTTTTTTTTTAATCTTTTACTTACCTTACTATATCCTGCTCATAATCTATGGTGACAAAATAAATATGGGTCCTCCTCTGGCCTAGAGGCCAGTGGCTAAATGAAATGGTCCTCTGTATCATGACATATTTAAACCCTCAGGGAAACGGCACATCATTTATTATTAATTAAACATTCCTAGAAACTGAGATCACCTTAAAATAAGCCTTAAAATGATCTGGTTTAATCTAGATACCAATAGTTACTTCTTATTGTGGGGTTTTATCTCTGCTTTATGAATTAAAGGTTTGATATTTCTCTACATTTTTCAGATTGAGATTCTCCTACTACGACGGAACATGAATTTATTTTTAAAATATTGCTGCATCTTAATAAAAAATTGTGTTTGCAAATGTGGCACTGGGATTTTTACTGATGTTTTTTGTGATATGAAAATATGCTTTGCCCGTATATGGTCCAGACGTGTGATGTTAAAGAGGAGGTCACCTTCAAACCGGCACATAACAAACAGCCTTTCCCTACACTCCCTGATAATCCCTGTGTGCAACCAGGCTACCATGGCTGAGAGAACACACACACACACACGCACAAACATGCACAGCTTACACCCCTAATACGCTTATAGGCAACCTCTCTCCCCCATGAGCCTTTGTTTGTTCATTTGAGGCACAGCCAGCGACCAAAAGCAGGGGCAGCGGTGGAAAGAGACAGAAAAGCTTCGGCACAGAACAAGCAGAGAGGGAGGAGAGAGAACAGGAAAGAGGAGAGGGATATAGGTGCATGAATAAAAGGATATTGCACAACTGGGAGGGCTTAATTAGTCAGATCAGAAACCTCCCAGACATTTTTTTTTAATGTGCAATAAGCAGAGTGAGCATAAAAAAAAAAATAAAACCTCGCTAATCTCCAGGCTGTTCAGTGCCACCCAGTTAACGTGAGTTTTTATTCTACGATTACAGACAGGGTCAATATCCCTGCTAATATTGGTCACAAAGTCTATAATTTCTAATGTTATTGTCATTGTAAGCTTATATTAAATGAGGCAAAAATACCAAAGTAGTTATTAGGGGCTGGAAAGACCAATGTTACATTTTTCATTGAGCCACTTTGGTGCGCCAAACTTTTTTTTTTCCCCAGACGTTTTCTTTGTAAAATATTACAAAAGTATTACAATAGTCCTACTGACCAAGACTTGACGGGTGAAAAAATAAACCCTCTGTCTGTCATAGGGTAGCTTCAAGCTTTGACATGAACTGAGGAGAGTTGCTTGTTATGAGCAAATGTACGCAGCTAAAGTAAAAAAAGAAAAAACAAGCACAAAAACAAACATTTCCAGCTAACAAAACTTGTCAACCCTTTGATTTTTATTTTTTTTTACTCAATGATGAAATCAAAATGGAAATGCCCATTTTCTTTACTGCAGGTATTTTTTTGACTCAATTATTCACAACATCAGAGGCGCCAATGTAATTAAAGCCAATAACGATTGCTAAGTTCTGCTGATAGCCTGAGGAAACGCTCACAATGAATCAGCATGCACCGGAGCAGGTTATTCCCTTAAGGGAGACGGCTCTTATTAATACATCAGAGCATTTCCTGCTACGTTATGCCAAGTTTCCTGACTGTGAAATTGTCCTATATCATCCAGTTCCTATATATCCGATTATTAACCTGGCACCTAAATCCCGTTATGGCTTCTTTTTCCAGCGTCGACACTCGTCTGACCCAAAATCCGCCTGCACCTGCCAGTACAGGATGTAGTTTGTGTCGCTTCGGCCACAAACACGCAGCTTGAAACTTGGCACGATGCGTTCTTGTGTTACGGTGAACTCGCAAATCTGGCAACACTCCAGCCGCCTTGTAAGGTTTTCTAATGGATCCCCAGACCGAGAAGGAATCTGGTTATTTACAGTTTTTCCTCGGTCGCTTCGGTGCGTTTTTCCAAATCGATTTTCGAGATTTGCAAAGCAGCAGGTGCGTTTTTTCAAAGTGATTCGTACAAAATAGCAAAGCAAAATTCCAGTTTCTTCCTCAAAATTAAATATGGGTATGGATAAACTAGACAGTGCTTCAGAGTGTTAAGTACGGAGTTTGGATATGACAGTCAAATTGATTAGTCATGTTGTCAATATAGTAGAGAGAGAGATAAACTATGGCTAAACTTTTGATGACAAGAATTGTAAATTGGACAAGATTCACATTTATTTATTAATTTATTGTCTGTGCTTTACTCACACAGTAAAGTGTGTGAGCATAGCAAAGGGAATCTTAAAAGGACAAATGCACCGTCACCCCAATCAATTATGCGCCCTGTGGTCCAGGCCGCTCCACTGGGAGGCCTGCATCCATCAACCAGCAGTTCACTGGAGGCCAGATTGCTCCACCCAGACAACATACAGTGGATACAAAATACAACACACCTGTTAAAACATATAAAATTCCTCCTTCCCTTCGTTGAGTTGAGTATCCTGTATGAAAAATAAAAAGTCTCCTGGGTCGGGATCTGGAAAGTGAAAAATACACGAAAACCTGTTTGCACAGATGTGCTTCACAACCGTAAAGCGAATACTTTGTTGGACCATTATTTGATTTAGTTAAATTTTATGATTGTTGTATTGATTTTGACTTGTGCTCAGACTCTCAGGAAAACATTTTCTCTCCTGGATTTTGGATCAGAGGTGTCTGGCATTTAGAACCGTTTCAGGATTTTACACGGCACGACAAGAAGTCTATAGTGACATCTGAATAAAAAGCAAGGAGAGAAAATGACGCTGCCACCACCATGTTTCCCTGTGGGTCTTTTACCGGTGACGTTTGGTTACGTCAAACACTAATCGACTGTTTTGCCTCAGTGGAAACCTCCTGCCATTTTAAGATAAGTGGCTCGTAAAATCGTTGACATGCACTGAACACACGTTCAAACCCAAACGTAAATTTAGCTTGGTTTCACCAAATTACAATTACAGCTTAGTGGAACATCCTGCAAGGTGAACCTGCTCTTTGCTCTTGTTGATGGGTGGTGGGTGCATTTTATTGTCGTCAGCTGTCCAGAAACGTTTTGCCAAACATCAGCAGAAAACACTGACGATTGTAAAGTATTGTAATCCAAGCAGAGCCTTCATGAAAACCTTCCAGCAGTTTATTTCGGAGGATGGGATGAAATGTAAGCAAACAGACGGCCGATACAGATGCACTGCGAAACTTGGCAGGACACTCAGCCGAGTGTCGGTGGATCAGCGGTTCCTTTCGCCGCAGAGTGCGGGGTTTCCGCGCAAAGAGTTCGACCTCGACTCGTTTGCTCTGATCAGGCCGGTTTTCTCAGACTCACCTCTCTTCAGGTGCTTCTTCTTGGTTTTGCGCCGCATGCCATTGATCCCTGGCACAGGCTTCATGTCGCTCTTGTTGATGGGTGGTGGGTGCAGGATAGGCTTTGGAGCTCGAGTCAGACAAACGGGTAGACCTGCAGCGCACATCAGGATACCTGTCATCCCTGATACATATGTACGCACGCACACGTAAACACAGAGAAGAGTGGGAAAAGAACAGCGACAGTCACTCATTTCCTTTGGGATAAAAATCTATAGATTAAAACATTTTGATGTGGGGATAAAAAACAGACGGAAGAACCTCTTATAGTTTTTTTTTTTTCTTTTTTAGAAAAATATGCTGCAAGCGTGGTGATTCCTAACCTGCTAGCGCTGGGTGCACAGGTCCAGACCCAGTCAGATTTTTCACTGGTAAAGCAGGAACGCTGTAAGGAGAAAGAGAGAGAGAAAAAAAGCCAAAAGCAGAAAACAGAAGTGAGTAATGTTGCTGAAAGTAAATGGCCCAAATAGTGCACCATTACTTGAGATCTGAGAAAAAAAGAAAAAGAAAAAAGAAACCAGAAAGCAGCCTACTGTTCCCTGCATCCCACTATAAATACTGAAGCTGAAATGTCATGCACTTCAGCAGACACTGCTGCAATGGGGTTGAGACGGCTTGACTCGTGCACAAAGCACCGCAGCGGAGCCTGATTCAGGATGACATTTGGAGAGCTTGGACTTTGTGGCGAACACAGACGACAGTTCACTTGCCCACATTTCAAACTCTCCGGAGCAGAGCGGACAAAAGCCAGCGGTGTATTAATAGCGTAGGATCCAGCGACTCTTTCTGAGGGGCCGAAACCTCAATTCAAGCGGCGTCGCCCCGCTGAGCAGAGCTCAGGAACTACAATTGCCTCTTCTAGCACGAAACACGATGCTGCGCAGCAGACGCCAAAGCTCGAAAGAAATAATTGGTTCTTGCGAGTTTTAGGGCCTCTGGCTAGAATGAGAGGCTTGTATTAAATCACATCAAACTTCAGAACAACAACAACAAAAAAAAATCATACCCAGAACAAGAAGTTCACTTAAAAAAAAAGAAAAAAGGTCCCATTATAAACGAACAAGAATCAGAGGATTTTTTCCATTTTTAGCTTCATCCCTGACTGTTCCGTTGGTAACTAGGCAATCCAATCTTTTTATGACCAGTGAACGCACCACGCCTGCCTAAACACTGACAAGCTCTGATGTAAAACAACACTCATCAGTGACGAAGTCATTACTGAAGAAATAACAAGCAAAGCAACTGCTCTTGTTGTTAAAAGACTATAAAAGGAGAAGGACAGCACCTTACTTTTCACCAACTACTTTTGTAAACATTTTCTAAAGTTAGTCGTCATCGACCCCGTTGTTACCTGTGGTGGAGAATTTGACCACAATGTCCTAAATGTGTTCAGATAGCTGAGATAGAGGATGCATGCTAATCACACACTGTGTCAGCTTAGGTAGTTTGAATTGACATAACTGAGCTATTTCCCTCAAAACACTGTTTCTCTGGCTGTACAGTCTGGCAAAGGGCATCAATTAACACCTTCTCACATTTCTTTGGGCCAAAAAAAATATGATTTTCTCAATATGAATTTATGCGCCAAACAAATTCACTGCCAGAAATGTGACTTGCCTTTTTTCCCCCCTTAGTTTGTAATTTATTGAAGAAGATGAGAAAACCAGAAGATTTTTATTTTTATTTTGTTTTTTTAAGAAATCCTGAAAAGTTCTCGGTAAATATTCAGTTACTTCCAGAAAGGTCTCCGTTCACACCAAAACACAGCACAATAAAACTCGTTCAAAACTCCTAAAATACTTTGACAGAATTTTTTTTTTTGTGCTGAACTAAATTTGCAGTGGCCATACTGACATTAATACTTGCAGCACGCGCAGTGGTCAAAAGTCAATTTATATGATCTGATTAAAAGATAGATGGGTTTAATGTCTATGTGCTCCAGCACAGAAATAAATAAATAAATAAATACAACACAGGTCAAGACAAATTTTGACCAACGGTTTCACAAGCAGTCCAAGTCGTTCCTTGATTGAGGACAGTAATTATACCTGTGTCACTATAGTCTGCACATAAATGAAGACCACAGGCTATGGAGGCTACAGCTTGCATACAAGTGTCTACAAAACTTTAGTTAGAAAAGGAGTAAGGAGCAGATGAGGCAAAGCAGGGTGCACATCAACGTAGACCCACTGGGTCCACGGTGACCTGACCTCTTGTTCTCGCGACCTTGACAAACAGACACGATGCTCATTTATCTGTAGTCGGTTCATCTTATAATCTTACATTCCCAAGTTTATTAACCACAAACCGGCCCACAGCTGCACACAGGCCTTTTGAGTCTTGTTACCGTTTGACCGTTGTGGACCGTCGGAGGTCGTTGGCCCTCCGGTTCTCCAGAAGAGCACAGATCCACATCGGCAGTGCGCTTTGATACAAGCGAAAGCCCTTTGTTCCTGTGCCAGGGGGATGCCCTTCTGTGAATTAAATGCAACAACAGAAGCAGGACACGAGGTCGGGATGAGAAGCTCATGTGTCCCATCCCTTCTCCAGCATGTGCGGTTTCTCACCTCCGTTTTGGCGGGAACGCAAATCTGTTCTGATTTGCTGATTTTTTGTTTTTTTTGTTTGTTTTGTCTCTCTCTTATTATTCTAACCAGAAACTTCAACCAACACAAATCAGTGCATAGTTTTGAAGTGGAATGAAAGTGCTCTGTGATTTTCACAATAAAACGTTTCTATAAAGCATGCAGTGCAGCCACCTTTCCATCCAACATCCCTGCATGAAATCCAGTACAACTCAGAAATCCCCTACTTGGCATATAGAGTCTATAATGTCAGTTATATCTGCACACTTTCAAGACTTTCACTTTATGTACCGTCGTCTTTAATGACAATTCTACACGGTGTCACTGCTCTGTGTTGGTCCGTCGCATGAAAACTCAAGACAACACATTGGTGTTGTGGTCATAGAAAAAGGGAGTGTGAAGATTTTGAACTCAACTGTGAGTGCGAGCATGCAGCAGCCGAAAGAGCGAGAGGTTTTTCAACAACAGAGAGTGATTTCACACCTTAAACCCCAACACAGGACTTAATGTTATCTCTCAGCTCAGAGAGGGCGCTCAGGAAAAAAAAAAGAAGCTAAAACAAAACACCGAGTCGATACTTCACGACACGCGGCTGCCCTTTCACTCAATAAAGGTATCAGCTTGATTGAGAGCTTAGCCAGTGTTTGTTTCCACTGCTGTGGATAAAGGAACGCTAGCTTAGCAGTAAATTTCAAAGGTAAGGTCGATGATGTGAGGCATCAAATGAACAACAACAACAAAAACAACCCAAAAATCCCCAAAAAGACAAAAAATGAAATAAATAGCGCTGCCCGGTGGGAAATCTTCCCTCTCACTTAAACACACACTTAAATGGAAACCAAATGAGAGCAGATGAGGGACAACATGCCTCTGTTTATGTGTGCATGTATAATTCATGGCGTCCACAGAGCGCCGTGATCAAACAGATCATTTACATCAGGGGAAGGACAGGGACAGAGCAGCGAAGGAGCCTTTAGCATAATGTACCGTCTGCACGTACATTTTGTTCCAGGACACGACGTTTATCCGGCGTCGGAAACACGGCTCGACGTTTAACGGAGATGCCGTTTTGTCTCGTGGATATTTTCAGCTCCAGCTGACGATAACTCCCATCACGATAAATGTATCGATACAAACCATCGGGTTAGGTTTGTCTGCCTCAGGTAGGAAGAAAAAAGCCCTTATCCGGATTATTTATTTTCCGCCTCGACAAAGATTCATCCTGAGCTCGTAAACAAACTCCTGTACCTTAATCAGATGTTTTATACTTTACGTTTGAGACATACCATCAACGCTAGAAAGCGGTTTGTCTACAAAGCTGCATCTTAAAATCGGATAAATCGCCGCCGTCTTCTGACTCCTTCCTCCTCTCCGGACTACTTTAAATAAAGAAGTACGTATCCCTCATCTGGAGGCAGCGACCCTGTCCATCACGGTAGACAGCGATGATGGTGCCTGCAGCTGCACGACTTCCAGGGTTTAACCATGGAGTAGTTCCCCCGGTCGTTCCTTTTAAAACAGTTGATAAAATGTGGGGGGAAAAATCAAGCAGCTTTTTTTTTTTTTTTTTTTCCAACCCATACTTTGCATGTGCAATCTGCAGCACACTTACAAAGCAGGTAGCTCTCTCTAACAGGCAGACACAAATATGTCTCATGAAGTATAAGAGATCAGAACGCAGAATCAGCTTTTGTGCAAGTAATGATAATCTTTTTCTTTTTTTTTTCCCCATACAAAGAGCTTTTCACAAAACGGGAGGACAAAAAGATGCCAACTCTGACTCGTTCGCTAACCAGGCAACAGATGTTCTCGCCACAAACAGAGCAGGTGCAGAGGCGATCAAAGAGAAAGAGAAAAAAATATTTCCTCACAGAACGCTCCAACATCTGTGAGAACATCTGATTTTTTATTTTTTATTTTTCCCCATCACAAAAGAGTCCGCTCTGAAAGAAACAACGCATCAGATTATAAAATGATGCACTACTCTCTAAAAGTACGGACTGTTCGGACATATGTCGGGAAGTTTTTGGAATATGTTATTATATTGTTTTTACCCAAAATAAAGGCAGGTTGCATTCACAGAGTGAATACATTGGAGGTCTCTGTAGTCCAACGGGATTTAAGAGAATTTATCCAACTAGAGAAATAATTTAGCAAATTATCAGGCTGAAGTTTATCACCTGTGATAAATCTCCTGTGTCAAAATCCTAACCCACTTTAAGGAGGTTTGTGATAGTTCAGGCAGTCTGTATGCTGTAAATCTTGTTGTTCTTTGAGAATTTGTCCTTAAAAGTTTAATGCCTGGGTTAAATCTGTGCAGACCTCCTCGGTGCAGCGTGAGGTTCATTCTGCTGGGGAAACCCAAAAACTCTCTCACAAAGTGTTCAGAAATTTGCAACATCCTGTGCTCATATTTTATTCATCTCTTCTTCTTAGATATAAAAACCCAAATTTAATTCCAACACTTGGCATAGAAACAGAGGGATAGCTAAACATTAAGGCATTTGATCTGAACAGATTCAGATTTTTTTATTTTTTTTTTTTTTTGAAATCTCAAACTAAATCAAGGCTCGTTTTGGGAGCCACTCCTGGTCTTCGGAGTTGCAATTTAAACTGAATCTAATCAGTCAAAAATCAAAAGAGAAAAAATTCCCACACCTCACGATGAAACGGCGACGTCGGCCTGCGCGCAGACGCAACATATCGCAGCGCAACATCAGCGTGAGCAGGCACAGAGCTTCAGCGTTTCCTCTGCGATTCTGCTGCTGTGGCACTTCAGTTTCGCCGAGGACGTTGAGCAAACCGCACAAAACCTTTGTCACCACTGCGTTTCTTCTTACGCTGTGAGAACGTTCGCCTCAAAGTTTTTCTGTCTCTGCTTTCCTGTCTTCACACACACACACAAAAAAAGAATCTTACGCAGGATCGTGTTTTTTTAAGGGTTTTTAAGTCAGAAAAAACACATGTAACTGTTTAAAGAGTCCGCAGCTTCATCGCTGATGCTGCAGTGCCACATTAATCATGGCCTCTGGCAGGTCGGGGCATACGGGTCGGCTTCTTCTCCTCCTCTCGGTGCCATTCTTTCACTCCTGAGGGAATATTCAAGCTTTCTTTTAGGGCCTAATCGAATGTCATCCTTCATTAGACCCACGGCATTAAGCCCAGTTTAAAAAAGAAATGCTGATAAAGAACTAAAATCCACTTCATCTGCTCATCATGCATTATGAAAACAAATGTGGATAAAAATTTATGAGTACTTATTAAATTACTGTACTGACGCAGGCGGCAGCAGGTGGAGGCAAAGCCGCTTCGCCCTGCAGCGGCGGAGTCGGAGAGGAGCAACACTGACACCAGCACATTTCAAACTTGCATCAGTTTGGCCCACATAATCTTCTCATGATTTATTTATTTGCTATAATATTAATTTTCGTCTGAACAAAGCGACGGAGCGGCTCGATGGAGAATAATGATCTGTTTGCTCCTCGTCTTCGCAGGGCCCTCCGGTCGGCTCCCGCATTAGCATTCCTACCTCAGGGGCCTCATGAAAACAGCAAACATGTTGTTCAATTTTTTTTGTATCCCTTTCAACAGAAAACTCAGCTGTTGGGGTTTTTTTTTCTCTCTTTTTTTGGTTTTACGTTTTGTTTTTACTCATCAGAAGGTAATCTGGCAACTCAGATACAAACTCTGCTAAACAAAAGAGGAAGTGGTTTCCTCTGAGTGAAAAAAACAAAACAAAACACTCAAGACCGTGTGAACTAGGCTGCCTGTTCATTCCACCACAAAGTGTCACACACAAATAAATCATTGCTATGTTAAGTCCACTTTTGGATAACTATTTGCTCAGTGAGAGTTTTCTTTCTTCTGTTTTTGCCTTTTTCTGCAACACCTTCGTTTTCCGTGTCGTCAAAGAAACGTCGATGTGAGAAACAGATTGTAGACCAAACAGACCGGGATAAATAATTCACTAAACACAACTTGCCCTGATTTCTGCCAGACCTGGAGAATTGAGAAACACTTAAAAAGAACCGATCTGACGACATGAAGCAGGCTAAAAGTTCTTAGAAAGCAATGCATCATGCGCCGCTTAAAGAGATACTAAACCATACGAGAAACAAAGTCACTTACTGCAGTGAGTGGCTTTGTTTACAGATGGAGAATTCATGGAACCGTAATGATTCACCAAAAAGTAGTCCAAGAAAGAACCACTGACTCATTCAGGTGTTAAAGTAAAAACAGCATCTAAAGCACTGACGTCACTTGCGTTAAGAAAGCCACTGAGGCGTCTCGTCTTTATAAAAAATGATCCCCAAGACCTTTTGGACTGTATTTTGTGGGCTGACAGGACAAAAGCTGAACTTTTTGGGAATGTCGTGTCCTGTTACGTCTGCTGTGAAACTAACACAGCCTTATACGGAAAGACAACGGAGTCAAACACGGCGGTGGTAGTGTGGTGATCTGTGCCCACCCTGTTGCTTCAAGTCCCGGGAAACTTTCCGTAAATGACGGCACCATGAATTCTGGTCAGCATCCTGAAGGAAAACGTCCGACCATCAGTTTATGACCTTCAGCACGGGAGCATCGGGTTATGGAGCAGGACAATGATCCTGCAAGTTCACCTCTGACCTCTGCCCAGGCACATTCCAGATTTGAATGCAATTAAGATGCTGTGGGATGACTTCAAACAGGTTTTCCATGCAAAAAGAGAGTGAACCAAGATTTCTCTATCCCTCTGAGAAAATTGGCATCAGGCAGTAAAAGCTTCATCAGTGCGTCTAAGCTGTCTTAGGAATCCAGCTTTCTTTTTGAGCCTGTGTCAGCTTTCCCACCCCGTTTGCTGATATCACAAATTTGAAAAGACATTCACTGAAAATGAAGGTTTGTGCAACGGCTCTGCATATTCATGCATCTGCTGATGGCTGCACTATTATGCCTTTGGACTCAGATTTAGCTCAGATAAACGCGAAAGAAATCAAAACCAAAAGAAAGCAGCTCCTGTCCCAGTGCCGACAGATGCGTTCGCCGCCAAAGCATGCAGGTGGTGGGCAGTCCAGTTTTCACACGCGCCGACATGTTGACACAAACCAGCAAATGGTGCCACCTCTAATATTTTGTGTGTGCGCGCGAGGCGGCCTGATGCTCGCAGCACCCAACCCCCCCACCGGCTTACGACCAGTTGTTTTACGACACGCTGGATAGAGATCAATACATCAACAGCAGCTGCCGCCATCAAACAATGAACGTGTCACTCCAACATTTATGACACCGGGCGATCTTACAACAAGAAGACATAAACAACATGCGGGATTCTTGTTAACTTTTTGTGTCGATTTAGAGACCGCCGTGTGCCAAATACCTGTCCTGCACCCAACAACAGTTAAATTAGGGCGCGGGTGTGTGAAAAGCAAAAAAAAAAAAAAAAAAAAAAAGAAGAAGAAAAAAGTCTGATGTTTTACACTCTGCGTGGGTTCCTCTGTTATCTGTGTGTAGCACACACTTGTGGGAACGTGCGCTGGGAGTTTGCGATTCAGGCTGTGCCTGCGTGAGATTGCAAGCTCTCATGTCCTGCTGTGCGCATGTTAACCACACTCATCCTGTACGTCGAGCCACTCGCCTGGGAACCGATCTGCTCCGCCTTACGCTCAACACCACCGCCGCCACCCTCATCCTACCCCTCCCATCTGTTTTCCTCTCTCTACCCGCTGTGGGTCTCAGTGTTTCTATGCCTCGAGGTGAGAAAGTCACGTTTTTAGCTACAACTCTGCATGGCTGAGCTTTGAGTGAGTCCTGAATTTCCAGAAGAGATGTCCCTGAATGGGAGGACCCCTTAGTGACCCGAGTCGGGCTGCAGAAAGCGAAAGCGTTTCAGTCCACAGTAGTGACAGGATGTTATTCTAGCAAGCACTTTAGTGTGTTTCTCCCCAGAAGCACAAAGAACAACAAAAAATGAACACTAGAGCAGGGAGAGGGTTGCATATCACGGACATGCGCGAGTGTCCAGATTGCACGTCAGTGTCACCACCAGATCGTGAGTAATATCCCGCAACCAATAGAAATCACAAGACAAAAAACTCAAAATGCAGTTTTTCAAACCCAATGAAAAAGAAAGAAGCAGAAATGTTATGATGAGACCTACGCAACACTGCTAAGTTGATTCCTGACCCCTTCCACGAGAAAGGGGAAACTGATAAATTACTGTATTCAAGCTTATGTTGCTTTTTCCTTCCACTCGATTTTCCAGAGACACCTGAAGCCTTGAGAGCAGGGTAACATAAAGCTCATTTACGATGCTGAGTAAAACTCACAGGGCATGGACTGAGGCTGGAGCCTGGACCAACTCTAAACATCTTGATGTAACTTTACATCTTGCATAATTGTTCAGGCAATAAACCACAATGGCTGTGGTCCCCAAACTAAGGAAAGACCTTCACACAGAATATCCATGACAACTCTCCATCTCCTCTTTGCCCCTTATGTCTTATTAATAGTACTACTTAAGGATTTTTTAAAGATGTAATAATATTAACAATACTATCATCATTTATTAATGTGTTTCACATCCACCACATAATGAAAATTTTACACAAAAAAGGTAAACCTCAGAAACTTAACTTTTTAAAGATAAAGCAAATTAAACAAATACACTTTGTGATGCTAAAATCAGCTTACCTAACATTTTAAATACATTATCTTTTACAGATATTTCTCCTTTAGTGCTCTTTCTTATGTCTCACCAGTTTTTGTATATTATGATCAAAGTACTAAAACAAATTGTGGTGATCCTGGGTGCTCGGGTGGTTTTCCTGCTGCTTCTCGCTCTTTCCACCAGGGGCCGCCTGGTGGATGATCTCTGGTGGGCGTGACCAGGGACGCTGGGATCCTCACACCTGTCGGAGATTTTCTCATCTCCGAAGAGATTTAAGAGTGGAGTCAACCAACACATCGATGCCAGATTGTTAACCAGTAATGGTACTGTAGGCCACCACTAGAGCAGTTTGTGATTCCTCTGAGAACCCTCCAGTGACACCTGTTGTGTTTACTCGTTTCCAGACAACCTCCTCGAGACGTCCTGGGTCACCCCCCGAGGCTTTGAGTTCCTGGCTGTACCTGACCCTCTTACCCCTCGCCGGTTGCCCACCTCGATCTGCCCCGGTAAGCTGAGGCCCGCAGCTGTCCGCCCTCTGACGCCGTCTGCTGGTTTCCCCCCTACACCGGCTGGTCCGCAGCAGATTGCCACACCCGAAACGACCCCAGGAAATACCAGTATCCACCCCCGCTTACCTGCCGCCTGACAGTAAGATTGGTCCCGCTCATTCAGAACCCGGACATCCACAGACCTTTACTCATCACTCATCCTCTCTTCCAGCCCGTTCCTGCTGCCGAGTTCCTTGAACCCTGCTGAAGCTCTATTGTTTTGTTGTTTTTTTTCATTAAACATCTTTTACTGATACTTGGTTCTCTTGTTTCTGCATGTGAGTCAAAAAGTTACCTCCCAGCATGACACAAATAAGCGGAAATGATTTTAACAAAAAAACAATTCAAACTTGAGTGTCTGTTCTAAAAACGCAGCTTCCAACATGGTGCTGGTTTTCAGGGCCAGGCTGCTGCTCGCAACATGGCCGACACTAGAGTATCTTTTCTATCATGCAACAAAGTTGAATGAGTTTCTACTACTTTGTTTCTATGCTTCGGTTTATTGTAACGGGGGAGAAAAAAAAAACAGGATCAGGGACAAGGACTGCTTTGAACTTGAACAAACTTCCTTTTCTTGGTTCCTTTTCTCTGAACTGCACTGAGGTCAGCACCATGCTGGCGCTCTGATTTTCCCTTGATCCATTATTCATTCTTCCCCGCTGGAGCTCTGCCTTCATGGCAAACAGGCTTCCAAAGCTACACCAGTGCCCTCTTCGCACTTTGCCCATCAGTCACTCCACGTACGCAAGAGCCAGAAACGACGCGCAAACAAAGACGCTGTTAAAAACACGTCCCGCATTTTTACCCCTCCTCCCCTGCCTGACTCGCCCCATCAGACTCCTTAGCTTCCAAGCGACTCAACAACCCCAGCGCACCCTGATAGCAACAAATTAGTTCAAAGCAGAAAGATCCAAAAGAGCTGCAGTATTTCACGCCTACTGGGGCCAACATAAGCTCATTATGGAGCAGACACACACACAGGGAAGAAAAGGGAGGACTCTGGCACACAGAAAACAAGACTAAGCTGAAGATTTTTTTTTTATGATTCCTCTGCAGATCCATTGATCAGCATGTTAAAAGAGAGCAGTCATAAATCAGCGGAGTAAAGGGTGGGGAGAGTGAAAAAAAAAGAAGTACAGAAAATCCGACACGTTCAGCGTAAAGCTTTGTGAGGCAAACATGCCGTTTGTTTTTGGGGGTTTTATATATTCAATCAATGTCTAAGTTGAATCTGAGCTTTATGCTGAGGCAGTAACACATGAAGGCTGCGGCGGACTTCGGAGAATCTCGAGGAGCAAAAAGAAAAAAAACAACAAACAAACACCATTACCCGGGTGGGATGGCTCCTCTGGTGGTCCCCATGGAAATCCGCTGGGTGCCTGGCCGGTTCAGATTGTTCTGTCCGTTGATGGTGAGCGCGTGGTGACCGTGGGAGGATGAAAGCGATGGCATCACCGGGGAGCAGGGGAAGTTGGCAGAAGACAGCGGCGACTGCACCTGTTCTGCTTTGGACTGCCCACCTCCCACACTTATGTTATTGTGGTTGGCACCGGAGGAGCCGGACGTCGGGGACCACAGGGAGGTTCCAGCAAAGGTGTTGCTCTGCCGCACGCCGCCGACGGTTCCCGGGGCGCCCGAGTTGCCCGCCGTCCCTCCGTAGAGCTTACGCCGCTGCGAGGCCAGGATGGCGTTGGAGGCGGCTCTTGTGCTGTTCACCAGGATGCACTGCTGGCACGAGCAGGGCTGGCCAGAGCTGGCGCCCACGGGCCACGACTGGGACTTGGGAATGGAGCCCATGATGAGCGGGTAGGCCAGGTCCATGCGTCTCCGAAGGCGCCGCTTGCGCTGACTCTGCCGGTTGGTCTGCGACATGCTGTTGAAGTCGATGAGGTAGCAGAAGCCCAGAGAGGTCAAGTCCAGCCACGGGTGCTGCTTCTCGTAGGCGTTCTGGATGGTCACGCAGATCTCCATGTCGTATGGCGTCCACGAGCCGTTGTCGTTCTCCCACTCCCACACCACGCCTTTCCCTGGGGCCGACGACGGCTCGTAGAAGTTCCTCTGCACAGGCCTCATGGTGCCTGAGAGAAAAACGGAGAAAAGTACAACGTGAAAAGGACTTCTTGACTTGAATGGTAAAAACTTTGGTCAATGAGAGAAAGAACTTTAGTTTTATCAGGAGGCTTGTCTCAAAACACCCAAAAGTCCCTTTCTGTTGCCTCTCCAATGCGTTAGGTCTAATGCATCGACAGGCCCCCTACTGGTGGGAAATATATTTGCTGACTTTTTTTTTTCTTTCCTGCCCACTGCCACCCAGCTGCATGAAAGACTGCTACTAAGTCTTTCGTGCATTTTTAAAAGAAAAATTCAGTAATGAGTCATGAATCAACATTATACTGAAAATATTTTTGGTCACGAAAACTAAAAGAGCACCACCAATCAATATTATTAAAGTTTATTTAATTTTAAAGATGTATGACTATCACTATAAATATATAAATATATATGTGACAAACTACAAATAGTCATTAAGTGTTCAGATTACTTTTTTTAATACCTGAAATAATAAATATGTTTAGATATTTTACCAGCGAGAAGATCACATTTTTGCTCTTGTTTAAAAAAAAAAAAAAAAAAAAGCAATGTTGTTTTTGGGCTTATTTCGACAAATTGTGTAAATACACAAAATAAAAATGTTATTTTTATTCGGGACTATTACGCTGTAGGAAACCCATACCGACCTATAGCCAGTACAGACCAAATGTTTTCAAGTTTCAGGCACATCAAATACAATATGTGGTGCTGAGGAGACGTGACGCGCTGATGGAAATGAGGGCCAGCGTTGCTCTGATGCCCTGAGGGGGAGAACAAATGCTGATGTGCAAACTGATAAATTCTTCACCCTCATAAAGCTGCCACTTCACATAAAAGTGTAAACTTGGCCTTTGAAAAGAAAAAAAAAGAAAAAATAACAACATAGATGCACGTCATACCCACAAGCCCTTACTCGGTAAGTTTACCACTCTTCTGTATGACGACAGGGTGCAAGGCGGCTTTGTGCCCATGTACCACCGCCGATGGGCACTCAGCTCCCTCCTCCATTATAACACAATTACCGTAGCCCCATGGGAAATCAGGACACCTCAGCCTATCCATCTCCACGCCACACATCAGCGAAGGTATCCAGGCGCTCCTGCAGAAATCCCTCTCCCTCCCCCAGCTAATTTAACGGCTAAATGCACAGTCCCGTGCCAGGGAGAGCCGCGGCAATAACGGAGGAACGGGAGTGTGTGTGGAGAATAAATAGGCGTGGGATTGACATGGGTTGAGCAGGGCCGCTGGGCAGCGGTGGCAACTCCTTCGTTCGGCAGTTTGGCGCCAACGCAGGGGAATAAAACTGCATCAGCAGCAACTGCGACTCTGACCTTGATTGTGTCCTGCAGTCTCCTGCTAAAGGACTCGGTTTGGTGGCTAATTTCAGTCTGAGCCGTGTGTTCACAGATGACTAGTCAGCCAGCTGCGTGCGTCTCTCACATCTTCACCCAGCCGTCCGTGCACAAATCTGCACCAAGGCGTGATCGTTGCTTGCGAGGTGTACCTCCTTTTTCCTCAGAAAAAAGCCAAAATACACAACATCGTTTAATAAGTTTCAAAATGAAACCTCTTCCACGTGGTTTTTGAAAGTCATGTTATGCTCTCTGTAGAAGAGGAAGGCTCTGTGATGTTCCAGTTCCTCACTGTGGCTTTTCTTTTCTTTTCTTTTTTTTAAATCAGATATGCAACATGCAAGTATGATTTAAATTGTTGTAAAAATCAACAGCTAAATAAGCATTGTGCAAATTTTATAAATAATATAACAGGCGCAGTTGCTTATCCCCAGGCCTTAATTTATCCACATGGTTAAGGTGAGGAGGGATGAACAGCATTTCATTTTGAAGACTGTTTATTAGCTTAAGCTGATCTGACAGAAATGCATAACACAGACGTGACCATATAACGTGGTTAATGTCTGTAATGTGCAACAGCTTCTGTCTAGTCTTAAAAAGAGAAGCAAGTAGTTTTTCTTTTTGTTAATATATTTATTCAGGGATTTTAATGACATATTTTAGTTTTGTTTTTTAAAAGCTGGAATTGGGTTTGAATTTATGAAGGATTCATGGTCAAAGTTATACACACCTAGAAACTGGCTGGATATTTGAGCAAGTTTAATGGCCAAACTGGTGGAACTAATTTTTTTAAATAGTTGGGTTTCTGTCTCTGACAAGCTGTTTAGAATATTTTATTTTTCCTCCAAAGGGTAGAGATCACTCAGGGAGCTTAAAGTAACACACTGGAATAATGCTCTTCTAATGTCTGCTCGGATGGGAAAACCAACTTGTGTCCAGGTTTCTGCAACCCGGCTGCTGGTTTTATTGGAAATAAAGCAAAATGTGGATGTAACTCATCAGCTCTGTACAATGAACCAGTGAACCAGCAAAAATAGGCCCTCGGCATAACACCACTACGGTCATTTACTGCTGGTTCAGTGTTACCGAACTTGAAAACCTTGTCTTACAGCTGAGCTGCCCAGTCTTTGTCTCATCTGGCCACTATGCGTTTCTCCAGAAAACATTTGGTCGCTCTAATTAAAAGCCAAGACATCAAAGCCAACGATGGCTTTAATCATAAACTCCTAACAGGAAGTTTACGATTAAGATGCTGTACACAGCTCAGAAATTTCTGGAAGAGCGGCTTGTTTAGCTGCATTATTGAAAAGCTGAAAACATCGTCCTGCTGAGGTGATGATCCGATGACTAATAAAACAAACAATGAGGTAAAAAAAAAAGGGTTATAATGTAAAAATGATTTCTGTCTACAGACTCATAATTTTTATAAATTATTTCCACACCGTTCGTCGCTCTAGGACATCCAGTTTCCTTCTGTCTGACAGCCTGTGTGCAGCGTCTCGCTAAAAATCCTCCCACCACTGTTACACCATTGGTCAGAGAAGAAAAAAAAAAAACTGTGAGAGAGCTGCTCTCTTTGTGCTTCAGAACTGCCAAATAATGATTGATATTAATTGTAAAAATTACACAAAAGGTCTTATAATGACTTTGACAAATGACGATGGAAAGCAGTTTGGCTTCACAAAGCTCAGCAGTCCAGTGGAAGCAAAAAGATGTGAAACGAAATGAAGTTAGTTTAGAAAATATTCCCCATGGTGCAGTATCTTTATTTAAAGAAATAAATAAAGCTGCGTACACATTGCACATCTGACAGGACTTGCATATCATGAGCTTCTTATGAACGCAATGTGTTGGCGTGAATTGCAGCTGCCTGATCTTTCAAGGCAGACCTGTGCAGACGCTGTTGCAGTAATCAGTTGGACTAAAGATAAACACATGAATGAGTTTCTCAAGATCCTATTGGCACTTTAGACCATTGATCCTGAAAATGTTCTCCTGGTGACAAAAGGCTGTCTTTGTAATTCTCTTTATGTGTTTCTGAATGTCAACGTCTGAATGCATCACTACATCCAGATTTTAGACCTGATCCGTAGTTTTTAGCTGTAACAACTGAAGCTGCGTGCCGACTCTTGAGTTTTGTTTTTATTCAGCCGAAGATGGTTATGGCACCAACACACATCGATTTTGGGTTCACAGTCACCTAGTTATATTGAAATGGTATAATCTGAGCTAGCAGGAGGATGTAAATATAAAATAGGAGGCGCCCCAAGATGGAACCTAGGGAAACCCATCGTGTGATTACCGTAGTGTCATACGTTACCTGGTCTTCAGGGAAGACTTGAACCAGTGAAGTATTGTACAGAAAGCTTAAGGATAGCAAAGTGTGTTTGTTTCTGACCATATCTTTGTTTTCTACTCCTGTACTCAAACTAATGTTTTATTTATTTGAACACAGAAAATCCTAATGGCTAAAACTAATCACCAGTCGCTCAACCAGGTATGAAAACTGTTCTGCACTAAAAGCCTTAAGGGGCTTCACATTGGAAAACTGTGATATGCTTGACCCATAGTTACACATCCTTTGGTAAATAGAGAGCTACAAAAAGAAATGACATGTATGCAAACAAGAAGACAACCAACTTTATGATATGAAATGTGTGCAACACTGATCTACCATGTCATAAACCAAAAAAAAATGATGCTGAGGGAGGCTGGACTGAGACCAATCTCAGCACATCTGCAGAAGCGTCAGTCATTTTGACATTCAGTCAAATACACAAGTAAACTGGTTTCTGCCTCTAGTACTGTAATCAGCAACTTACTACATCAGCACTTCCACCCGTAACATTTCACAGAGGGCTTTCTGGGTCTACATGGGATTGAGGACTAGGAAATGCCAAGGTGAGCAGTTCTAAACATGGGTTGTTATTTATTTTCAATGTTTGAGCAGAGAGAAGATGTAAAACAATGTCACACTTCAAAGAAACCACTGTCGTATGAAATAACTCACGACAATATTAATTTAGTACTTCCTCTGTTTACCTACCGAACAGTAATTATGAAGAAAAAGTGCAATGGTGCTAAAAGGTTTCAGGTTTAGTGCAAGTGTTCAAAACAGATGGGTCATATGAACACCAGGACATAAGTAATCGGGAATAAAAACGCCTCAATCTGAGTATTTTGACATCTAAAATTATCATCCAAATGAAACTTCGAAATGAGTACTGCACACAAAAGAACTGTACCTCATAATAATTTTAGCAGTCTTGCAAAATCTTAAGAGTTGAGGTTTGGGGTTTGCACAGGGAATTCGCACAAAGACAAAGGGACGCTGGTACAAAATGTAACCAGCTGCCATAACTCCAAAACTGAGAGGTGAGACCTAGTGAGGCAGAAACATTTGTGCCGTCATGTTTGCATTCTGCTGTAGGATCTGTGTAAACTGCTGATGGAGGATTGTTAGGACTGGAGACCAGAAGCCACAACACAGCAGTCCCAGAGCCCGCATGTGGAAAAGTTTTATCCAAACATTCATTCTGAAACTTCTGCCACCTATTATATCCTGTAATTTACTGCTGTGTAAACACGCCACTTCCCCCCTCCGCCCGCCCCACCAAAATGTTTGGCCCGAGCTG